CTCTTTTACATTCTCGGCAGCGTAATAACATTTATAAATAATCTCTATAAAACCTTTTTCAACTTGGCATCCATTACGGACACATTTGCCCGGACTCAGGACTCCGGAGTCCGGAGTCCGCAGTACGCAGTCTGCACACCAAACTCGTTCGCACGAGGACACAGGTCCTGGCAGACCATAAAATCAAATCAACTGAAAAGTAACAAAAAACTTGGCCAACTAAATGCAATTTATGAAAAAGCACACACTATCGGTGTCGACCACTATCAGTGTGTGTGTGCGTGCGAGTGTGTGTGTGCCAGTGTGTGTGTGACAGGGTTACAATGCATTGCAATGCAGTCGCTCCTTGGCTGTCTGTGTGTATTTTTTGAATGTGTATGTGTCCGCTCTGAGTGCATTTTCTGCGTTGGCAGCTCATCGTTGGACTCTGTAATTTCATTAGGGCAGTAGGACAAACGTACACAGCCACAGCTGAAACACACACACACACACACGCAGACAGAGGAGAAAAAATACAGTAGAAAATTGGTAATCTTAAGTTTTTCCATACATTGTTTTTACCCCATAAAAAAAATATGACACACCTGCAATCTATGGACATTCGGAGGATCTACAAAAAAACAATGGCGATTTTCGAATCATTTAAATTAATTCCAATCATTAAAAACAAATCATTTTTGTATACTTGGTTGTTTTCAAGAACTTCTAGTCCTTTTTGTTATATTAAATATACATTTGTAATATTTTTTGAACTACTTCCAATATAGAAATGACCAAATTGTTAACCTTATTTCGATAAGCTTGTAGTCCAAAAGTAAACAAATTGTAAGTAATTGTGAATACGTGAAAAGGAGCTTATGATAAAATATTAAATAAAATTTGTCTGTTATTTTTAAAGAGTTTTACTAATTTTTCATAACCCCGAAAATTAAGTGACTCATTCTTAAATTAAACTCACAAAATAATAAAATATGTAAAAGGTTATGATCATTTTTACAAGCTCAAATGTCATAAACTTTTTTTTTATCATCCCAATTTATGATTGTTATTGTAAAAATGTGTTAATATTATTTATTACATTACAACTGAAAGTAAGCCACATGAGAATAGAAAATGTTTGCTTTTTGCCCTGTGCACAAATGCATTTAAGTTGAGCGTACACACACGAACAAAGTAAGGACGTGTTAAGGAGCTGAGCTGAAATTCAGTTCACTTTCACTTGGGGCTCAAGCGGGCGGAATCACACCACCGCCCACACCCACACCCCCACCCCCAAAGCCCCACCCACTTCAGCGAGTGCCATTCAATCAATAAAAAGGGAAATCTCCGCCCGGCGTGGCATAGTTTTCCATGCCAGCTGCGAATGCACGATGAAATCAAAAAAGGCTTTAACAATACTTTTCGTCTTATGCGCGTACCATATTATGTAATTGTAGGGCTCACACACACACACACACACACACACTCAGTCACAGAGTGTGAGTCCTGTGTGAGTTGTGTGCTTGTGTGGGGGAGAAGCACTTCATTTCTTGGCATTTCCTTTTGGCATTCGCATAAAGAGAGACGGAGAGACGGAGAGACGGAGAGAAGCACACACATGGTCTTCTAGGATTTTATTATTATAGCTGTCACACAAACACACCAGCACACACTCACACACATACGCGGGGGAAGAGAGTCCTTTACACAGATACATTCACACTTACTGGCAAAGATGTCGTCTGCTTGCCATTGTCCTTCCACATAGTCGGCATCGTTGGCATTTTTCTTCGACTCTCTCTCAGTGTCTCTTTCTTCGCGCTTTCTCCACGCTCTCTACCACCCCCTCTCCCCTCTCCCGTCCCCCGTCCCCCTGCTTCCTCTTATTCTTATTCTTCTACTTCTACTCAAGCATCCTGCAAATGCGAGTGTGTGTGTGTCTTACTTTTGCCGCTTCTGCTTTAGTGTTTATTTTGTGAACATTTTGAATGTGACTGGCCGAGTGTCATTTTATTCTCTCTCCTTCTCCTTCTCCTTTCCCCCCCTCCCTCTTCCCCCGCTTTATCCAGTCTCTCTTTCTCTGCCCTTCTCTCCCCTTCTTCTTCTTAATCCCTGTGTGTGTGTGTGAGTGTGCGAGTGCTTGTGTCATTGCCATTAATTAAACACGTTTATGGCCGGACTAGGCTAAAAAAAATAAGCGGCGAAAAATATAAATAAAATGGGCTAGAGAGCAAAAAAAAAAAGGAGGAAATAAGGAAAACACGACCTAAAATAAAAGCCCGGCAGGCTAGCAGCCACTTTGCACATTAAATTATCGATTATGACATTCATTCACAGCCCCGAACGAAAATAGCATCAACAGCAAAATCAGCAGCCAATCTGGCTAAAAAGCTTCCACCAAAGAGCCGCCCGCATTGAGTTTTTGCCCATCAAAGTCACAAAACGACCAGCGGCGCTGCAAACAAACAGGCCAACGTTTTTCAGGCGGGCATACACGGCGTATGGGCAACGTCAACGTCAGTGGAACACCGCGTCAATGGGGCTTCCCCACGTCCGCTGAGTGTGTAAAGTATTGGACACAATAATAGGCTACAGCCAGCTTAATCTCAAAAACAATTCTGTTCGGAATTAATTTTCTGTCAATAAAAACTATCTATTTAAAGTCTCTTAATCATCGACTTAAAACTGAAATACATATTTGCTTAATTGATAAGCTATCATTCTTTTAAAAAATAAATCAAAACTAATGCTTAACTTAATAAAATTTCGGTTAAATTTGGTTTCTAAAAGAATTTTATAATTTAATTTTATTATTAGTTGATTAAAGTATGCAAGCCAATCAGCAAACGCTTTTATTGTATTTACTTCTTAGGGAGACCAACAATAGATGTATTAAACTGTAAGGTATTTACATCTTAATACATTTAATCCATTAAAAGATACTCTAGGCCTAAATGTAATTTGGGCTATAAGTTACACATAAGATGGAACGCTTGAGATAATTAATTTTGAATAATCAGGGAATATCAAACTCCACACTTAATTGAATGCCCGTCTTCTCCTTAAATTCTCAAGTTTCAAAATTGCAATATACGAAAAACAAAAATAACACACAATTATTTACATGTCACTATTATTGATTATCTCTAAAAAATTCAAATAGTTATTTAAATAGTCACGTATTTTTAATTTCAAATATAATAATAATACGTAATAAGAATTGAGATAAAATTAATTTAAATTAATTTTCATAAAAGAAAAACAACAATATTAATTTGTAGAATATTTGTTTTGTTAATATGCAAATTTAACTTAATATTTAATAATACAGAACAAGGTAAAAGTCAAATTGGTTTATGCCATTGAAATCAACAAACACCGTTTCTTATTTTTTGTCCACCACTGTTTATTCCCATTTCACATGTAGGTTTTTGCTGTTGGGACAGGCAAATTTATATTCCACAAGCGACAAATGGCAAAATGTTGGAAGCACCAGTGCGAATGTTTCATTCCGGCCATTTTGCAACGCCAAAATTTACAGCGATGTGGCAATTAAATTAAACTTGGTTTCGTATTTTCGTTAATTAAAATGCAACCATCGTGCTGCAGACAAATGCCACTTAATTGGTAACTTTACCTCTCCAGAATACTGACAAATTCTTTTGATTGCCAATTATAGGTTTGAAAAGCAAAGCAAAATTCATCGATTAAAGTGCAGCATGTAGACTTAACCGCATCATTACTCATAGCTATATCATTAACCCACCGCAAAAAGGTGTTAATTGGTAGCACAATTGGAGCTCTCGACACATTGGTCATGAAAATCATTGAGCTTTTGGATATACAAATATTTTATTAAATACTGCAAAATGTAGTCATAATTTTCATAAAGCTTTTACAACACAAAACTGACTTTTAGGCAAACAAATGAATATAAAAAGTCATTTTTTTTAGCAAACAATTTTAGCTTAAAATTTAGTTGTTTCATGAACTTACAAATAAAGTTATAATAATTTAAATAATTTGTTCGGAAGTACATATATCTTTCCATCTAAGCGCCACATAAAATGGAAAAGTTGTGAAGCTAAGATATATGATCTACCAAATACAACAAAGGCACACATGAGGGTCTAAAAATCGGCAAAATTATTGCCCGCATTCCAACACAACACCCATAATCACTCAATTTTCAAGCCAACCCCTCATCAAATTCCCGACGACCCCTCGGGCAGCAAATTCTCGACTTTGAAAATTCCCATACAAGAAAATATCATTAGGGCAGAGCAGAAAAGGGAAAACTTTATTAATAATGAAGCTAATAGAGTTTTGAGGGCCTGCCCCCCCCCCCCAAAAAAAAATAAATAAGCAAAGAAATTACAGGGCAAAAAAAAAAGCAAAATGAAAAGGAAATTTGGTCAGTGGCTCAAGGAGCTGTAAAAATAACAAGGCGCAGACAAGAGGCGGCAGTGGCAAAAGGCCTAAATCGAGGGTGGCACAAGGACTGTCACACAGACAGACACACACTGGCACACTCGCACACTCGCACACACCACACACACACCAAAAACGATTGAGTAATTTTTCCCCCTCCCTCTCTCACCCCCTCTCCCCCCCTCACCCAGCTCAGCCACACAATATTATTAGGGTCGAAAGGGAGATGAATACGGCGATTCTTGGGGTTTCTGGTGGAGATTGGCTCTGGATGTGTCGTGTTATATAAATAAAAATGCTGAAATGCGGCTAAGGAACAACTGGCAATTAAATGTTGGCATTAGTTTTGCGTAATCTGTCAACTAATTGGCACAGAAACATACACATAGTAGTTGCCTTGACTTTGGGGCCACAAATTGGATTAGAAGAAGACTGCATAATTCCCACTTAGCAAATAGTACACAAACTGCAAATAAAAAAAAAACGAGGACAAGAGAAGCGACCAAAAATGTGTAAAAAAAAAGAAAAATACTTAAAAATATATACGATTTTGGTTAGTTACATCTGCTTTTTGGTCACATTTCACGCACATTTGCAGCAGTCCTTCATCCTTGTTGTGGGTTGTAGTTGTAGTTGTATCTGTTGTTGTTGTTTTTTGTTGTTGTTGTTTTTGTTTTTGTTGTTGTTGTTGATGCTGTTATTGTTGGCTTGGCTTTTTATTATTTTTGTGGTTCTGTTCGCACTCGTGTTCAAACCGCACAAAAACAAAAAATCTCGAAAAAAATTAACAATTGCACATATAATATTTATTCCTCTAATTTGGCGGAGGCACATTTATTAAATATTTTCTTCAGCTTAGCTGGATGGGTTCCGGTGTTTTTCTTTTCCTTCTTTCTTTTTGGCACTTGAGCACTTCTTATTTAAAAAAATTTTTTTTTTTGTTTGCTAAATGTTGCAAAGGGAAATTCGGAAACAAGAACAAAAAATTCTGGGGTCCTGGACGCTGGAATCCTTTAGTTCGTTTCGGATTTGGATTCGGTTTGGTTTGGTTTGGTTTGGTTCTGGCTGTGGCTGTGGTTCGAGAGGACTGAAGACCACTCAGAGGGCGATAATGATGGGAGGCGAGCGCACGCTGGCTCCGCACCACATGACCGCACTACACGATTGACAGTTTGGCACTGAGCAGGAGCAGGACCACGACCAGGAGCAGGACTATGCCGGAGCTTATCAGGCGAGCCGAAGGGGCGACTGAAGGCCCGAATGCCCCGAAGACCCGAGAGTCCTTGTGCGCGACCGTGTTTGGTGGGGCAGTGAGGGGGAGTGGGGGAGCGGGGGGAGGAGCGTGTCGCTGCGAGGATATGCGCGACTGTTACAAAAAAATTTGTAGCCAAGCCCAAAGCCAGCCCTGTCGCCTTCGCATCGCCGCCTGCCGCCTGCCGCACATCCTTGCCTCACCGACCCACTCCCACTACCCCCCTCCCCCCTGCCACCACCCACTCACATGTATGTTCATTGAGGAAAGCCCAGCATCAGCAGCAGGACTCCAGGCGAAGCGAAGCGAGACCCAACGAACCGAACCGAACCGAACAGAATCCGAATCCGAATCCGAATCCGAGTCCGAACACCACCGAGCCGAGAGCCCTCAGGCGGAACAGCCCGTTGGGAAATGGAGCAGTGATATCCTGGGGAATTTCGGGAGATGAAGATTAGTAGTATTATATAAGCAAATTATACAAAAGGTCGTTATAATTTCAACTCAATAGATAATTAACATATTATCACTTATTAAAGAACCATAATATTTAAAGATAATAAATAGAGCAATAAGACAGTCGGGAGATGAAGATTAGTAGTATAACATAAGTACATTTTTCAATAGGAATATAATATACAAGTTATCATTTATTAAAATACAATACAATTTCAAGAAAATAAATGCAGCAATTATGTACATTTTCAATTTTCTGTGTACAATTGTTCAATAGCATATAAAAAAGTATTTTCATGATGCTATGGGATATGTACGTCCGTGAAAAAATAATCTATGCTCAAATTAATTTGCGTTGATATTTTAAGTAATATAAAATACATATTATCAATTAGTAAATTACAATACAATGGACAAATGGGCATAGCTTCGACTTTTCGAGGTTTGCTTTCTTTCTGGTTTGTTATGATATGTAAGCAATGCAATAAATTGTGGGACTTTCAATCATATATTCATTATTTATATTTATAATATTATATAATGAACGAAATAAAAAGTTGTCTATATTCTCAATGAAAATCATCAAAGTACCTTTCTATTAAACCCTTTTGTAAGTTTGCGGAAAATAAATAAATAAGACATTTAGCTTGTAATATGCATGCGGGATGTTTTTGATAAATTTGCCTTTGGCCTTATGTTATGCTTACACAGATTTAATGTTAAATCCTGCAAAAAAAAATGTGTTTATCCAAAAAACATAACTTGTATCTTGGCTTAGTCAATAATAATCAATTCGAAAACCCACTAAACAAAATGAATGTAAGTAATTTAATTTATTTTTTTAAGAAACCTATAAAAGTTTCTATTGTGCTCATTTAATTAAAAATAAATTTATTATTTATTTTTTTATTAATGTAAATTTTTGTTTATCCAAAAAATATTCCCCAAGAAGTTCCGCTTAGAATAGTTGCATGGAAAATGCTTTGGAAAATGTCAGGCCTGCTGGGATTCGCAACTTTTCACTCCGCCCACCTGCATATATTTTAGTCGCTGGCAGCTCCCAGCTCCATTTGGCAGATGAAACTTGTCCGGATTTCCAATTAAGACAATAAGAGAATCATATTCGGGGACGGCAAAGAAAAACTGAAGTGGTCGCTGGTGGAATTGAATTGAATAAAGATAAAAAAATATTTGTCTGCCGCGGGCGATGCGCATTTCCCAGCGGGGACAAAGCCAACAGAAGACACCACAGCTCCAACAAAAACAACAGCGGCAGCACCACAGATAGAAACAGAATCTGTGCACTGAAATAAAATGAGGTTTCATTAACTACATTTGAGTTCATGTTTGATCCTTTGCTGAGCAGAAAGTGCATTGATATTACATTTAGCTATGAACTATAAAGTTAAAATGAATTTTAAATGTGATTCCATTTCAAGCATATTTTAATATCTAATTAAAACAAGTCCTGACTAGCAGTTAAAAAGTTTGTAACTTAAAGTCATCAAGAATATTTACTTGATAATAAATAGGGACTGCAAAAAATATATTTAAGGCACCATATCTTTATGTTTTTTATCACGTAACACAATAAAATTGATGTTGAGATTCGATGGACTTAATTCAATAAAAAGTTGCAATGTAAATAAATTTAAATTTTCTAAATTTTACAGAAACTGACAAATGTGACTATATAAAATTGATTTGGATTAATTGAAATTAATTTGGAATTCTTGGAATCTTTTTGGTACGTATTAAATCTTTTTAATTGGTTTTTATCATTCTATCGCATATGGTTTTGTTTAAGTTTATCAAATGCAATGCACTTTTCTCTGCGTGTTGGGATGAAGGAAGCGCCAAGTGCCATGTGCGGCGCTTTGTGTCTGCGTCTGTGTGAGTGCGGCCTTGCGGTGTCCTCGTGTGTGTGTGTGTGTGTGTGTGTGTGAGGGTCCTGTGAGAGGGTCTTGGGAACGGAGGGGTGGAGGGGAAAGGGGGTCTAAGGACGAGAGGCAGCAGCCAGAGCCACGACGAGAGCACAAACAGAAACGGCACAAACAGCAAACGTGATGAGCGCATGTGTTTTATCTTCAATCTCAGCTGAAATCATCTGGCCTGGCCGCCAACCCCCCCCTGAAAAGCCTCCACCCAACCCCCTTCCTCCCATCCAAAAGCAAAAAAAGGATCCCCTTTGGCCCACGCCCCTGTGGCATTATGAAGGGCAATAGGTTGTGTGAGACTTTGTGGACTCGGGTCGTCGTCGGTGTTGGGATAAAGTTCGGGTTGTCGGGTCGACAAACGCCTTCGGCTGCGACTTAGCTCTGACCAAGTCACTAAGCCAGTCAACCCCACTATCTGCATCCCCCCGCCCTTAGCCTTAACACCCTCTAAGCACCCCCTGTAGCCCCACGCCCATGGAACATTTTCTGCGCTTTGTAACATCAAGAAATTTGTACTTCCGCCAGTGGAAGATTTTAATTAAAAGCAGCAGGAAATGTGACCCAAATAATACTTCCGTATAGTGTGAAAAATTGGCCCGACTTGGCAAATGCTATTGCCATTTGCTCCTGCCTAACGTACACCTCCCCGAATAGGAATAGGGGGGAGGGGGGCTGGGGGCTGGGGCACCTCCCCCCACAGTGGCTGCCTAATTTGTCGTAGGACCGCCCGCAGGGCCAACGTTTAGCTGCCGGCGGGCGAGGAAAATATTATTTAAGTGATTTCTAAGCTGGCTACTGACAAGCGAGCGGAAAACGTTTATCACTCGAGTGGAAAATGACACAGGAAAAATGTGTGTTTATTTTACAAGTAAAGAGTTATTCCAAAAATGACACCAAAATGATATTTCCAAATGAAACAACGATTTTTGTAACAATTTGTCGAGAGCTTCCTTAATATCTGTACCCCAAATATTCAAGTATGCAAATTTAACAAATAATAATTTAAATATTAAAAATGTTTAAACATTTATAATTTCTTTAAATATCAAAGTTTTATACATATTAAACAATAAAATGTTAAAATAAAACAGAAAGATTATCCTCTTAGCTTATAAAATTTAAAAATAAAGGACAATTGAAATGTATGTGAATTTTTAATATTCACTTTTCAAATGTTTTCTATGTTTCTATTTAACTTACGAGAATAAATGTAACTTGCCAAGCCTTAGAAATTCTAGATATATATACATATCAAAATATAAATAAATATATATCTGTATATATCTTTATAATTTTTAATCACATATTTTTAGGATTTAACTATGTTAAGTTGAAAGCCTTCAAGATCAGCAACTACATTGATGGATTTCTCAGTGCATCGAGGACAAACCTCCGCCATTTATAGCCGGGATGAAGTTTTGACTTTCGGCTGGAAAGTCAGCTGCATTACGTGGCATTACTTGGATATTCTTGGCGCGACATAAAATCAATATGGTTACCTTGTCACGGCGTGTCCTTTGACTTCGCTCCGTGAGCTCTTGGCACGCAAGCAGCGTGAAAATGCAATCAATAGCAAATCGTTGTCAGCAATTAGCGTCCGGCCCAAGCGCTGAAACCCGATCCCGCCCAGAAACGCCCACACCCAGCCTGTCTGTCAGCCAGTCAGCCAGCCAGCCAGGTGGACATCCAGCTGCAACACGTGAGTGATGCAGGCTTTCGACTGAAGTGTGCCAAAAAGGATTTGCCACTAACGATGGCAGCAGTGCATCTGCATCTGCAGCACTCTCGAGCATATTTGCTCATCATTCTCGCTTTTTACTGCTCCGCCCCAATGCCCCACCGTTCCCCTCTCGATTCAACAATTCTATTCATAGACTGCTCTGCGGCTCTCTCGATTGCCAGCAAAATGGCAAACAAATCGTTGCAAATATTTCCTCGACGTGGCGTATGCGCAATTTTTGTCCAAACTAAGAATGGGACACATGTATGTATGTACATAAGGGTGGTCCAAAAAGATAGAGTTTGGTAAGCAATAAATGTATTTGAAATTTTATTTTAAGTTTTGGGCTTTGCAAATGGTTTCAAAGATTCCGTTAAAAATTACTCAGTTAGAATACATTTTTTAATCATAGGCACCTGTGCGTATGAGTGATAAATCTGAACCCAAAACGTATTTTATTTACAAAATTCACTTTCTTATGTCTTAAATGCAACAAATAGCATACTATAAACTGGTGACAGCAGAACCTTAACATTTTTTTCTAATTTGGACCACCCTAATGTATACAGTGTATATATTCATTTTTATACATCTGTATCTGTTTAGCACAAATATTTGATGCGTCTAAATGTGTGGACAGGACCATTTGCTGTTGTTGATTTAATTCAACATTTACCAAATGAAATTTTCATCTTGCATTGACAAACGTCTTCAATAGTCTTAATTACCACCTAAAATTGCCACATGTATAATATTTTGTTGATAGCAAAGGTTATTTGTTATTTCCAAAGATATTAAGTATCTTAAATATTTATAAAACAAATCAAACGTAAAAGCTGATTTCCAGGAATCCTCTTTGTATTAAAGCGCATTCAATTGTATTTAAATCTTTAGCAAATAAATTCCAAAGTTAAATTTGTATGCTGTATGGTTATACAGTTCAATATATTTTACATTTCAGTTAATTCTATCATCTGCAGAATATAAAATTTTGACTTAAGATTAAAAGAAATTTCATAATATCAAAAAAAAACTATTTTTTTTTAAATGTAAATATAAAATAACAAAGAATAGGAAAACTTTAATTTCTGAACTGTGCCCAAATAAAGTGAAGGCGACCAAACGGTCCAAAGTTGGTACGATTATGTCACCATTATATACGAATTAATACTAATAGATGGGGGTCATCAACCCCGATCTGTAGCTCGGATAACCACAGTCAGATCGTGGAATTTATTACCAGCCGGAACTATAATCTGTCACCATCCAAAACTGGGAAACATAAAACATATTCCATATTCCATATTCCGAAAATTATAATAAGCGGCTTAAATTCCCAAAAATTGTTTTCCAACCCCAGTGATTTTCCAATAACATAACAAAGTAATACTTCGTTTACATCTATAAGTATTTTATATTTATTTTTGAATTTATCATAAGTTTTGCTTGAATTTCAAATACACATCTATAGATCGTCGTTATCCATTTTCAATTTAGTTTTAAATAGTTCGTAACATAACTTTAATATGCAAGCAAACAGAAACGAAAAAATGTATCTAAAAATGTGAATACTTAAGTGAATCAATATTTTATATGCTGTCTTCATGTACATAGATAATATATAACAATTACGATTACAAAAAAACACGACATTTCATGTGAGTGCGGGACAGAGGCGGGGAAGAGGGGTTTAGGGCATGGGCGTGTGAGTGAGGGGATGAGGAGAGGGGGCGGAGGACCACAGCTTGGATGAAAAATGAATTTCGCTTTCTTGTTGTCTCGGCCAAGGCGACAAGAGATAAAGTTCTATAATGTAAGCGTTAAATATATTATTTATATTATGTTTGTATATATATATATATATATATGTAAGATCGTATATATGTATGTGTGTGTTGCGTGTGTTTGGGAGTGGGGAATATTCTTATATCGTTTTAATGACTTAAAGAACTAGAAAACATCATCATCAGCAGCAGCTTCATCAGACTCATCCCTTTCGTCTGGATTCTCAAGGGTTATTTCAGAATCCAATTATTTCACAGGGCACCCACACAATAATTTACTCTAAATATTGTATTTGGAGGCATGTAGATTATACGATTAAGATATCCTATCTTCCCAATCCGCTGCAGCTGTGTGTCGAAGGCATCGGGGGCCGTTTTAGTTCTCATTTTTTCACTTTTCTTTTTTTTTTTAGTTTCAGTTTAAGTTCTAAGTTCAGTTTCGGTCTGTTTATAAATATTGTTAATGCATTGTGTGTTTTTGTGTGTTATCATTACATTAATTATTTGTAATAAAGACGACGGCATTCTAGGAATTGTTTATGCACAAAAGCAAATAGTTATTAGTTCCATGCTCCAATGCTTGCTTTAGTTTCGTGTTTTTCTTTGCTTATATTTTCAAGCTAATTCAATGTTTATTAAATGTTCCTTTTCCATCTCCCTCTCTCTGGCGCGGTTACCCATCTCTTTTTGTCCGAGTTTAGCAGGATGAGTGCTTGAGTTCGTGGTTGATTGATTGATTTTCCTTTTGATTTGATCAGATCCTCGGGAGGCACAGTCTCCTTAGTACCTGCTGTTGTTGAACTGCGAGTTGATGGCCGTGTTAACGGCCGAGGAGGCCGCCTCCTGGACATGCTGATTGCGCAGAAACTCGGTGGTGAACTCCGCCTGGGCCTTGGCCATGCTGGCCCCTGTGCTGCGGTAGATGGAGTGAATCTTGGTGATCATCAGCACATTGGCCACGGCCACCGCTGCGAAGCAGAAGGAAACGCACAGCAGCAGAATGCCGACGATAATGCCCGACGCTTTGCCATCGAACTGCCCGATGGCCGTGATGAAGCCGCAATAGCCCATCTTGCTGAAGCCCACCGTCTGCACAATAGTGTACAACGTTTGAAAGAAGTAGATGAAGAAGAAGACCATGAAGTTGAAGCTCGAGTCGTTGCGGAATGCCTTGTACGCCGGTCGGAACCTGGTAAGGAAGCAAAGATCACGATATTAAGGGGTCAATATTAGGTTATTTATTGACATCCAAAGGATTAACTCACCAGCAGACATACGAGGCGGGTGAGAAGAGCATCGTGTAGAAGATAGCCAGGAAGAAGGTCTCAAATTCGCCAGCATGGAACAGCAAAATTAGACCTCCGATCACGTTGGCCAACAACGTCATGGTGTAAACTGTCGGGAGAAGAGAAAGCGTATTTATTTAATGGAATTCTTTAAATTATGAGAAAAGGCAAACAATCATAAGTAAATAAATAAATATGGCAACTTTAACGTAATAGTATGGGCCATTAAAAAACACGATAAATTATTATTTGCCAGGAATTTATTTATAAAGTATGTAATAAATATGTAACCCATATGTAAACCTATCCTTTTTTATGACTTTTTCTTTTTACGCTTACGTTGATATATAACACTTGAAAATAAGCAAAATATAAGCTAAGGACATACTTAAGTTAGCTTATTTGAAGTGAATTTATAGATTACGTTAAAAATATAAGTCATACATATTAAATACCGTGTAATTTGGCCCTTCTTTGGCTGTATTTTCTGCGCACAACCACCCAAAGATTTAACCATTGGCCATAGCCACATCTGACTAATCGTACCACCAGACTATGAACGCCATGCGATGACTAATCCCAACTTGTGCCCACGCTTATCAGCGTTATACTACTGCCATAGAACACCGATACTCACAGATCCAAATGTAGTACAATCGCTTGACCAGTTTCTGGAACTCGGGCGGAATCTCCACTTCGAAGTCCTGGTAGAAGCACGGCTTCACACAGAAGTTGTCCGGCAGCGGTGGCCAGTTGTTCAGTTGGGGCACGTTGCCTCCCTGCAGCTGCTGCTCGCGGCGGTCCAGCTCAGCGGCCTTGCGGTCCAGTTCCTCCTGCCGGCGCTAGATGTCAAGAGAATGATACAATTATCAACAGATTAAAATTATATTTTAATTATACACAAAGCTACAAGACATGAATAGTTTAAAGACAGGTTAATTAAGAGTTTGATTATTTTGAAAAAGATGCCTGCCTAGGTAACAAACAAAAATTCTTTATAATGAATCCTAATTGAAAAGCATTATTCAAATAAATTTTCTTTTTAAGGATTAAGTGCTTTAAAACCGAATGATGTCATATTCCATTTCACAAATTGGGAAACATTATAAATTTCGACTTTTCAACGATGTATAATCCTAGTAATGTATCAGTCTTCTTTGTATTCGTCAAAATGTATCATTTTGATAAAGAGCCCGATTGTGGGCCTTTATGCATGTATGATGTACACACTCAAACTATTGAATCGTATTTATTTAGGTCTAGTTTTTCTTGTACTTATGTGTAGGGCTGCTGAAGCCAAGTAAATCAAGAGAAACCGCAGATTGTACAGTGAAGACTGGGCGCAATGGTCTCTAGTATTGGCTAAACAACTGCCTCCAAGCAGATTTATCATGTGCCGGGCTAGATAAGCCTGGTTATCTCTGTGTTTTTTATGGGCAGTGCTATGTGATATGTATGCTTTAATCCGGTACTCAGACCGGTGTTCACTGTACAAACTTTATGGGCAGTGAGATGTGATGATGTGTTCGTTACATTACGGCAACCCGACGAGAGTTCACTGTACTAGTGGGCGGTAACGCGAGCTGGCCGGCCAAGTGGGTTACCTGCAGCTCCTCCGAGGTGATCTGTATGCTGGTGCTCGGCGCCGAGGCGCCCAGCGAACTGGTCTGCGGGGGCGGAATGTTTTGCGACAGCGGCTGCACCACCGCCGCCGTGTTGGTCGAGTTGATTTGCAGCTGCGGCTTGGCCTGCTCCTCGAAGGGGTTGTAATCCTCCAGAGAGACGAGGGCGGCGCCGCCCCGAAACGTCCGTGCCTGTTGGATGGCGGGATCCTGCGGAGAAATCCCGATCAGAAACCAATTCATTCAACATATGTGACGAATGCACCCAACACACACACACACGCAAACACATCACACACGCGCACCCCCACCCTTGCATACGTGTGTGTGTTGAGTTTTTTCTTCGGCTTTCGCTCTTTTATCGCCTCACCGCAAACGGATTGTCCAGGTTGGGCTCCCCGAAGGGATTCTCGTCGAGACCGGAGCCGGACATGGGTTCTACTTTGGGGTTTGGCTGTTCGATGACCAGGAAAACGTACTGAAACGCACTTTACTTTTTTCTGTGTATATTTTCCCTATGACTCTTCTTTTAGCCGACAGTGTGGCCGAACGACACAAGTGCAGTGTGGCCGAATGTCAAAATTGCAATGAGCCTGCCGGCTACCGCTAAAGTAAAAGTTTTTTTTTTTATGTTTGGGAAGTACAACTATCGTCAAAAGTATTGTTGTTCAATTTACAAAATATATGAGAACATTCCAAAATAAAATATTGTTTGAGGGACAAACCAGCGATATATTGATTAAGTGGCACACAATTTTGACTGTCAAGACAAATTTTAAGACCATGATATGTTATACATTTCAAACAGAATCACTCATTTATCATCACCAATAAGAACGAACTGGCTCGGATGATCCGGTTCCAAGCCGAACTGGCTCAGCTGAACCGGTTCACCTGACATCCCGCCATCCCTGGTCCCGCCATTTCTCACCGGTTAAAATCTAGTGTTTTGGCTGAGTTTCTCATTCACCGCTGCGCCTCCAATCCCATTTGGTTGTGCTCGATTCTGTCTGCTCCGCGTCCAAGTTCAGTTTCCAATCCTTGCAAGAATGTCGAAGCCCAGCTACAAAGTCGGTGAGTTATAAATAAACCCAACGGTGGAACTCCGAATCTCCGGCCAGGCCGGCAACAGGCGACATGTGTGGTGGTGGATTCATGAGCACATGTTTCTGAGGTTAAAATAGAGCCTAATAAAAAAAAGAAAGCACGTTGTTGCCGGGCTGGATAACCAGAACCGAAAGGGGTATATAAATCAATAGTGGCCGCTTATCTGACCCTATCTCCCTTTTTTACCGCCCCACAGCCGATATCAGTCTGGCAGAATGGGGACGCAAGGCGATCATCATCGCGGAGAACGAGATGCCCGGTCTGATGGCCTGCCGGAAGAAGTACGGACCCTCCAAGATCCTCAAGGGAGCCCGCATCACCGGCTGCCTGCACATGACCGTCCAGACGGCCGTGCTCATCGAAACCCTCGTCGAATTGGGCGCCCAGGTGGGTTTCTATCTTGCAATTCCACTCGAGTAGATTATCAGACAGTATCATTTCGTATATACATACCACTTTCATTTAAGTTTAAATAATATCTCTCACGTAAATATCAACATAAATTGTATATTTATAAAATTTCAAAAATTGGTATATTCTATAATAATATAATAATATTGCCTAAATTATGATAGAAAACATTTCAAAAATTGTACATTGTAGTCCGTAAGGTCACTTATTATTTATGCGAGATAGGTGGACAGATAGGTACCTCCAATCACTGTTCACAAGGGCTGATCCGTTATCGTCTTTTGTTTACGCACCAATTTAAATAACAAAACTTTCGTTTAACAAGGGGGCAAGTTCAAGGCGCCCAAGATAAGACCATCAGATTGTTATTTCCTCTGACGCAGCACGTTTTGTTTTTTGATCCTCACACATGGCAACTATTTTGAACTGCTATAACCCTTAACCTTTTTCAATAGGTACATCTGGAACATCTGAACATTTTATTTGTTTCTTTTTATAAAGTATATCAAAGAGATAATACAATTGCGAACCATATTTTATTTTTAAAATAAATAATTGATAATGATTATTAAAACGAAAATAGATTTATAAAAATGAATGTTTAAAACATTGTTTAAAATTTAAAATAATTCTATAAAATTCTCTTCTCTTATTTTGAGCTAAAGTATTATATTTGTTATGTATTGTTTTAAAAAAAACATTTCACATTTTCATGATGCTGTCGCAATGGTTATATCAAATAGAAAATCCTTGCTTACCATCAAAAGCCTTTCAGTCCTATTTCGATCTAATAGATCATATTTACATCCATCTCCCCAGGTCCAATGGTCCAGTTGCAACATCTTCAGCACCCAAGATAATGCTGCGGCGGCCATCGCTGCCACGGGAGTGCCCGTGTACGCCTGGAAAGGAGAGACGGACGAGGAGTACTTGTGGTGCATCGAGCAAACCCTGGTCTTTCCCGACGGCCAGCCCCTGAACATGATCCTGGACGACGGCGGTGATCTGACCAACCTGGTGCACGAGAAGTTCCCCGAGTACCTGAAGAACATCAAGGGATTGAGCGAGGAGACGACCACTGGCGTCCACAACCTGTACAAGATGTTCAAGGACGGTCGCCTGGGCATTCCGGCCATCAATGTCAACGATTCGGTTACCAAGAGCAAGTTCGACAATCTCTACGGCTGCCGGGAGTCGCTGATCGATGGCATCAAGCGGGCCACGGATGTGATGATTGCCGGCAAGGTGTGCTGCGTGGCCGGATACGGCGATGTGGGCAAGGGCTGCGCCCAGGCGTTGAAGGGATTCGGTGGCCGAGTGATTGTCACCGAGATCGATCCGATCAACGCCCTGCAGGCGGCGATGGAAGGCTACGAGGTGACCACCATGGAGGAGGCCAGCAAGGAGGCCTCGATCTTTGTGACCACCACCGGCTGCCGGGACATTATCACCAGCGAGCACCTGCTCCAGATGCCCGACGATGCCATCGTCTGCAACATTGGCCACTTCGATATCGAGATCGACGTGGACTGGCTAAACGCGAATGCTAAGGAGAAGGTGAACGTGAAGCCCCAAGTAGACCGGTATACAATGAAGAACGGCAAGCACATCATCCTGCTGGCCGAGGGACGTCTAGTGAATCTTGGCTGTGCCCACGGACACCCCAGCTTCGTGATGTCGAACTCCTTCACCAACCAGGTGCTCGCCCAGATCGAGCTGTGGACCAAGTCCGACCAGTACGCTGTGGGCGTGCACGTCCTGCCTAAGATCCTCGACGAGGAGGTGGCCAGTCTGCATCTGGAAAAGCTGGGTGTGAAGCTCACCAAACTGTCGGACAAGCAGGCCAGCTACCTGGGCGTCCCGCAGACCGGTCCCTTCAAGCCCGACCACTACCGATACTGAGCACCCTACCCGGCAACCGGTTCCGAACCCGAAATCGAATCGGGCCTCGGCGCCGTAGACGACGGTCCCACTAGTTATCTATTGTTTGTACATTTCACTGTTCACCTAAGCTCCAATAAAATCCCATCTCACGTACTCTCAGCTAGAGAAAACCCAACAATTGCTCCAATGTTTTTCTCCTACACCTCAAAAGATGGTGCACATTCGTTTGGTGGATTGGTTTCTCTATATGGTGAAACAGTTGTGTACATGTATTAGTGAATTAGCTGAGTTAGTTTAAAGATTTGTTTTTGATTTAAAACACGTGTTATAAAAAAATACGATTTTGTAAAAGCAATCAGATTTAGCTACTAGAAAATGAAAATAACAGTGACTTAACAAATTTTGGTGTTTTTAAATAAATAAAATCAAGGGCAAACAGAATTCTCTAGAAGAACATATTTTAAGTGGTCAAACACGTGCAGAGCTCTTTAAGAAATGAAATTAATTTTTTTTCCGATTAACAATGAGCCTAATACATCTACATATGTACCAAAAAGACATTTGCATAACCAAATTATACTTGCTAAATTATATGGTTTTATATAGGGAACAATGCCTAATATCTTATCTTTAACTATTCATGAATAAACCTCTTAAGTTGGAGTAGCTCAGTGGCGTACATATAATGAGTTTCGAAATCTTTAAATTAAATGGTAACTAACTTGGAGAAAATATTCAGTGGCTCACAGCTTATTTGTAACAAAATATTACTTGATAACATGTTTAGTTCAGTTTTAAGCTGTGAGCCACTGTATATTTATAGTTACATATGTAAATGTCAAAAAACGGTATTGTTCTTTTACCAAATTTGTAAACCCCCCTTTAGGCCTATCCCCCTTGTGAAAATACAGCCTACGCCCACGATCCCTCTCTGACATCTGCGTGAAGTGCTTATCGTTATCTCCCTCTTCTTTCCACCACCGCTGTAGGGTATTGGGGATTTGAGATGGCCTGACCTTCTCACACAGATTCCGTTGATTGCGGCCGGTTTCCCAGCTGGTCACCCTTCTCACTCTCTCCAACGCTGTGTGCGGTGGGGCGAGTGCATACAGCTATCTCGCTCCCGCTTGCAATTGCAATTGTAAACTGTAGTGTGTGATTTCACGTTTATTCCGCTTGGAGCACTTGTTGCGTGCGAAAGGGGTGAAGCCAAATCAAAACATTCCGTCTGGCAAATTACATCACTCATAGGCGGAGATAATGTCTCCGCAGAGATGTCATGTTTCCTTTTCGACTTTCCTGCTGTTCGTTCTGGGACTCGGATATGCACCCACATTCGGATGGATGGTCCACTTTCGCCCGGCTACCCTGAAGCTGCATATGGAGCGGGGGGATAAGGTGCAGCTTACCCTGGAAAACCTAGCACCTTCCACGCTGCAGCAACCGGAGCGCTTCCATTTCCGCCTGGAAAGTGCTGACAAGGATCTGGCCAGTATTCCCGGGGAGAACGCGACCATTCCCCTTAGCCTCTTCAACACGGAAACACGCGATTGGACAGGCGAAATCCTCGTCAATGCCCTCTTTCTGGGGCAGACCAAGATCCAAGTGAGGTTGTACGATACCCAGCTGAACAAAAGTGAGTTGCCCACGAATTGGAGCAACGACAGCTCGCTGGAGGTTAAGATTCTGCGTCCGATTCGGGTGGTCGATCATGTGTTCATCGGCTCCATCATACTGCTGATGTCTCTGCTGTACATTAACTTTGGTGCCGCACTCAATCTGGACGTGCTGAGAGGTCTGATCACCCGGCCCACAGCTCCCTGCATCGGATTCGTGATGCAGGTGGTGGGCATGCCTCTGCTGAGCTACGCCTTGGGGGTGTTCATCTTCCCCCAGGCACCGGCCATGCAGCTGGGACTCTTCTTCACCGGCATCTCGCCCAGCGGTGGGGCATCGAACACCTGGAGCGCTGTGCTGGGCGGGAATATACACCTATCCGTGCTTATGACCACGGTGTGCAATGTGGCTGCCTTCGCCACCATGCCCCTTTGGATTTTCACTCTTGGGCAACTGATCTTCGAGCGCGTAGGCATGCAGGTGCCCTACCAAAAAATCGCTACCTACTGCGGCTCTCTGATTTTCCCGCTGCTGATCGGGCTACTCATCCAGAAGCGACTGCCCCGGGTCACCCGGGTCCTGGTCCGTCTGCTTAAGCCCATCTCCGCCTGCCTAATCATGTTCATCGTCATATTCGCCATCATCACGAACTTCTATCTGTTCTATTTGTTCTCCTGGCAGGTGAGCTGTACTTCATATACTTTAATCCTTAGTTCCCATCTGAGGTTTTTCATAAATGTATATTGATGTTTAATTATTTAAAATTAAGATTCAAAAAAACAGTTAAACCTGATGTCAAGAAGAATGCATTTAAACCAACATCAAATTTAAATATATGTAGTTGAACAAAACCATGGGTAAATGTGGAATTAAACAAAACTTTGTTTATTAAGATTTGAATACTATAAAAAATATTAACTTATTGTGAACTTTAACGCTCTTTTTCAGATTGCCGTAGCTGGCATGGCTCTCCCGGGCCTAGGCTACATCTTCGCCTGGCTGGCAGCCAAGTTACTCCATCAAAATGCCGCCGACGCGTTGACCATTGCCATTGAGACGGGCATACAGAACACGGGCATCGCCATCTTCCTGCTCACAACCACGCTGGAATCGCCGGAGGCGGACCTCACCACGGTAGTGCCGGTTTCGGTGGCCGTGATGACGCCATTCCCACTGCTGGGAATATATCTTTACAAACGATGCTGTGCACCCAAAACGATCGAAGCTAACGCTGCCGAATCGGAGCGGATTGTTTAAGCTGTAGTTGCTGAATTTTACAGTTTTTGATAGCTGCTGCAATATTATCATTGTATAGTGTTTGTACATATTGGTTTTTGATAACTTATACAACGTAAAGTTTGTGGACAAGGCTATTCCAAAATTTTCTACACTTAAGTCACACCCAAATATTTTGGGATAATCATTTGTAATTATTTTACAATAAAGTCATATTTATACCTGTATTCGAACGTAAATGCTTTTCTTTCAAGTTGATTTTATACAACTTCGGTTGTGTGATTTTCATTAGAAAGTTTGTCTTGCAAACTTATGCATTTGTATATAAAGTATTAATGCCCTCTCGTGGATCTCTCAAGGATTATATATCTTTCTTTGCAAAACTGAAAACGTACAACCGTTTTTTCTTATGTAATAGCTAGATTTTGAATGTGGCAAACTTTTAGGAAAAGTTCAGTACCAACCTTTCAAAAATAAATGTACAATGTATATCGAGCGCATACATATCCGCATTCCAAGCAGATATCACAACATATATTCTAAGCCAAACAAAAGAAAAGGTCGCTCGAGGATCATTGGGTGGCCATGGTGTACGCCAAAAGGGCTGCCTCATCCAGGGTCACCACCTCGGTGGAAAGTGCCTGAAGGATCTTCAGCAGACCGAAGATGGTTTGCGCGCCGAGATTCAGTTGCCGGAATTCGAAGAGTATGCGCATGTAGTTGACCGTGCCTGTACTCAAATCCACGCCATTCAACATATTCGGCAATAGGTTATAGTAGTTGATCACGCAAAAAGCTCGCTGCAAATCCGGTCCACTGACGGTTGTCACATAGCTCGGATCCAGGCGCTTCCGGCTGAGGAACTCCCTCAGCGGCACACACAACTCGCGCGTCGAATCCTCCATTTCCTGTTTGAAGAGCTCCTGCATCATCTGGATGAGCTCCACGGAGATAAGCGGATGCTCCGACTCCTGGTTGCGACTCAAGTAGGCATCGATCAGCTTTAGCTGCCACACATCGATGTTGGTCAGCATGGACTTGGTCACGTGCTGGAAAAAAAAAGAATTACATTTTCAATCGTTCACCTTAAAAATCGATCCACTCACATCGTATAGCGTTAGATAGACGGGTAGCAAATGCATCCGATCCTTGACCACGGCATTGTAGAAGAGCAGCATCATCTGGTGGCGCTTTACCAGCTCCGGATAACTCAAATCCGTGCCCTTGGTGGCCAGGCAGCGGCTCAAGAAGGGCTTGACCATCCGTTCGCTGGCAAACTGCTGCAGGTCGTTCATATCGATCTGCCAGCAGATGCTCTGCTCCATCGTCAAGGTCTGCGCCAGCATGCTCTTCAGTCTGTCGGGATCCTCCAAGTGGGAGAGGCAGCCCGTTCGCTTCTTGATATCGATCGGTGCACTCATCTCCAGCGCTTTTTCCAACTGATGCCAATTGCGGGAACGCTCGAAGCACACTGGCCAATAGTTCTCGTCGTCCACAACCACCTGTTGCAGACTGCTCAGCACGGGCAGGATGCAGGGAGCGATGGGCAGGCGGCGCATCTCGGTGGCACCCACCTCCAGCACGGATATGTTGGCCAGACAGAGCTGGTTGGTGTCAATATCCCGTGGAAGGAACAAGCGTGGTTCCACTGCCAATACATATAGGTGTCTCAGCGCCTGGAGGTGATAACTAAAAGGGGAAACAAAGATTTAGGTTGGCTCCATCTACTCTGGAACCCCAATCCTTACCGATTGTCGTTGCTGTGTATGGGAAACTTGGGGAAGAAGGCGCAGACCAGCGCTGCAATCGATTCTGGTGTCTTGGCAATGGTGAAGCGACCAGCTCCCAGGAATAGCAGGCCCAGCGACATGTGAATGGCCATGTGGGAGCCGTAGGTTATGTGCGGGTACTGCGGTCCCACCCGCGATCTTAGATACCGAATGATGCGAAGGATCTCGCAGTTTCCGGACCCGGCGAAGACCAGCGAGATCGAGATGAGCAACACCATCAGGCAACTCTCCACTGTAGTACGGCCGGCACATTCGCCCATTGGTGTGCCGGGGAAGCCCAGAAACTCCTTGATCACTGCCCGCAGCGTGGCGAAGGCCACCATGTCTTCCGTGCCCGCGTACTTAAGGCCAATGCAAAAAGCAGCTCCGGCCATGATATTGCAGTAGGCTTGCCTAAAACCAGGATATTTGACTCATATTCCTTCATTTAATATTGAGCTTAAGGTACTTACGTGATGGCCTCGAAGTCCACATCGCCGTCGTCGGCAGCCGGCTCGTCATCGCGCGAAGGAAGCCTCAGGTGAACCCGGAGGGTCTGCGGAAACTGCGCCTGGAACCACTCGTTGTCCGGTCGGATGTCCTGCCACAGGATTAGGCCCCTGGCTATGGTGCGGAGCAGCAGGAAGTCCGGCCGCACCATGTCCAGCAGATACCGCGAATCCGGCGGCTGCATCCACTCAGCAATCGCCGCGTTCCCGGAGTTGAAGAACATGAGTCCCAGTGCGAGTGTCGCACCCGGAGCGGTGACATCTATATTGACGCTGTCGCCCTCGCGAACTTGGAAGGAGGCCAGTCGGTACTTCTCCTTCTGGGATCCACTGATGGGTCGCTTGACTCCGCCCACCATGTAGTAGTGCAGAGTGTCCGGCAGTTGTAGATCCCGCAGTCCAGCTGGCGATTCCCCTTGGCCCAGGGTGACCAATCCGAGCGACAAGCCAGCTGTCATGGCATACGATTCACGCTCCACGCTGTTCTCCATCTCGGGACCCGGAGGTCTGCCGATCTCCTGCAGCAGCACCTCGGCTATGTGCCGCTTGGCTGATCCCTGATACAGCAAACCAATGCCCATCAGCGCAGCCACCTGTGTGCTTTGCGGTATATCCAGCTCCATGGCGGTGGCTGGAAGCAGTGCCTCCAAGTGAACACTCAACAACTTCGTCGTTTTCGTATCCATTGAGCCTCGATGGGCGGCGGAAATGCCCAGCAGCAGGCCCACGTTGGTCATCTCATCGCACTTAACCAAATACTTGTAAACACTCATGAAGGACAGCGTTTTCAGGTGGCCATTCAAGCCCAACGCCATGAGGAAGCCGGCGTGCTCCACGGCATTGTTCGCCTGCGCCTTGGGCTTGTTGTAAACAATCCAAGTGGAGTCTATGTCCTGGGCCTGGGGCGAGATCTTCAGGCCCGTGGCCACGCCATTGTGGAACGAAGGCCACATCTGCATGTTGGCGGGGAACTCGATCTGCTGCATTTCGATGGTGGTCCCCTTCAGCGGCTCCCTGCCCACCAGGCACAGTTTGGGCATGGACAAGCTATCGCTGGGTCTGGGCATCATCGTTCTCAGGGTGAACATGCCTCTGCCCAGAGGTAAAGTCATCGTCCTGGCACACAAAGCAAATAGCTGCTTCTCCTGCTCCTCGATGAACTCATGGTCGCTGGTTCCCGGCGACTGCTGCACTTCGATGACCACTGGCTCCGAGCTGTTAAGCAGACGTCGCACCTCCTCCACGCGCATGTCGTCGGGGAAGCGCAACCGCAGCAGTTTCGTGTCCATGTTGTCCATGTCGTCGTGCCGCAATTGCTCCGAAGACTCAGGCTCTGCCCCTCCGGTCGGGGGACACCTGGCTGACAGCGAGTCCTCCCTGTAGACTCTGCCGCAATGCGGTTGTCCAATGCTCGTTTCCAGGAACGGCAGCTGGGCGTGTGCCGCCAGTTCCGGTCGCAGGATAAGCTCATAAGTGGCCATGCTACAGCCCATGGGCGGCGATAGGCGAGCCTCCTCCAAAGCCTCAGCTACGATCAGATGCACCGCTGCCGGGAATCTCTCAATATCCCGCCTTGTCAATCGCATGGCCAGGATCAACTCTAGCATTTGGTGGCTCCGTGGTGCATCCGCCGTGATGCTTCGCTTAACCCGCCTCGGATAGTTGGCCTGGACGGCTTCGGGGATCTCAAGGAGCTGCCACCAGTGCTTGAGACGTTCCTGCCCGTGGACCACCAGGGATACGAGTTGCAGTAAATTGCGACTCCTCTCGTTCACACAGTCCACGAAGCTGTAGGGCAGCACCTCCTCTTCGCCCACAACTATGTGCTCCAGTTGGGCAAATACGCTGGGGGCCGGAACCCTCAGAAGCTCCTGGTGCAGCATCATTGCCCCGTGCTCCGATCCCAGCAGCGAGAGCTTACCGGTGCGATTGGAAAGTTCCGGGAAGTCTAGGATGTAGTGCAGCACATAGCTGTCCAGCTGCATATCAATGGCCAGTTGGTGAAGGAACTACGAGAAGAAGAAAAAATCAAGTGACTTCCAAAATAGGGATTACATTGTCCACCCACCGTTGCAAGGTATGGGAGCGCTGCATAGAAGACAGCGTCCAGTTTGAGATCCTCGTACAGTAAATGCAGACTAAAGAAGATAGCGGGGATCATCTGGAAGAGCGGCGCGTTGATGTCCACGCTATAGCTATGCCCATCCGCTCCACAGGGAGCCAGTGTCGTCTGGAGCAGCAGGAACTCCCAGTCATCGTCCGTGAAATCCTCGCAGTCATTGTATTTTCTTCGTTTTTTCGGCTCATCCTGGGCGCCCAGCGTGGAATTGGAACTGCAATTGGAACCGTCACCCGAACCCGTGGCAGTAACTCCTCCAAAATGAGTATGCAGAGATGGCGTGGCACATCTGCCGTAGCTCTCGCCCGTCTCTACATCCGGAGCTGCAGTCAGACCCATTAGGGAGAGCAGAGTGCACCGGAAGAGCAGCCATTCCTGCTCGATTGAGTAGTCCCTGGATCCCGGCGGATTTCTGGCGCTGTACCAACGGATCACAAAATGCAGGAACTGTGCGGGACTCAGAATCTGCCGCAACGTGGCCACACATCTGGTGAGCAGTCGTGTATCGTTCAAAAGGGGCAGCGCTATTCTAAGCATCCTACCCGTGGCATAGACCAAAGTCAATCGATTTCCGGCCGGATCTCTCAGGGACTTGCAGACATTATGCGCCTGCCTTTGCGTGTAAGAAACCGGCTGCGGTTGGATGGGCGACAACATGTGCAGCTCCTCATCGAAGGCAGCCAAATCCCCCGGAGCTTTCGTGGGCAGTAGGCTGCTTCTTCGCACCTCCACAAAGGAACTGCTGTTGGCAGGATTTCCACCAGCACAACCAGCTGTCACTGGGGTTTTCAACAGAGACGGAGTGGGCGGAGGAGTCGCAGCAGCCGTGGGCGTGACCAAAGGTGTGGGAATGGAGCTTGGCGCTAGCAACGGGGTAATGTGCACCTTGGAAATGAGCACAGTGCCAGTGTATAGGATCAAACTGCCGCCCGGATCGAGGACCGCAATCATGTGCAGTCTGTTGAGGCCCACGGCATCCTTGGCGGCCAGCGTGGATGCGAGTGTCGAGAGCTGCACCTCGCTGCTCCCGTAGCCAGTGAGCCGGACCATTTGGAGGCGGCATGAGCGGGCCAGCAGGTAGCACATAAACGTCTGACCCACCAGATCCGTGTGGATAAATGCTCGGGTGGCCATCTCGCAGAACTCGCGTTGCCTGAAAGGAACAACACTAATCATTGCGTCACATCTTTTTGGAATTACTTACGTTCCATAGGTGTTCTCTGTCCATATGTGCTCCAGACACATTTCCGGTTCAATGGGCTTCGCCGGCTTCACGTGCGTCATCTTGCGCATATCCTTCACGGACATGGACTGCTGGCTGATGCTGCTCTGCAGTTGGCTCAGTGGCGTGCCCAAAGAGGCGCGACTGCAGGAGAAATGGGAACCAATTAGCCAACAGTTAATCCGAGGCAGTCAAACCTACTTCGACTGGCCGAGCACTCCGCTGAAAGACTGCGACTGGCTGAGCCCGAACTTGGACAGATTGCCCAGACCCGAGATGGTGTTAGTCCTGCCCAGAAACGAGGCATTCGGAGCTTTTGGCATGGCTGGCAATGAAAGATAGTCAGTCTCTGTAGTCCCTGCTTTCCACTGAACCCACTCACCGCCGGTGTGCTTGGTGGAGCTGAAGCTATTGCCCCCCGCCTGCGATCTGGATCCCAGCAGCGTCTGGCCCAGCTCCTGCTGCTGTCCCACATAGTTGACCTCGTCGGGCGTGACCTTCCTCAGGCGGGCCACAAAGTGCTTGAAGAACTTGGCGTCGTACAGCAGCACCAAATCCGAATCGTCGGTGGTGAAGACCACACTGTACTCGGGCTCGGTCATGTAGCCCGTGGAGCTGGTGGCCGTCTTCAGGACGACTGGACAGGCTTCGTGCAGCGGATGGGACATGGAGAAGAGCCGCGGCATCGGAATGGAGAGGTGTGATATCAAAGCATTGCTGGAGTCCTTCTCCAGCAGCAGGCCGTGCATGGTCTGCCATACCTGCGAGACGGGGAAGTCCAGGTTGGCCAGGTAGTCCTCGCCATCGTTGCAGTAGACCCTCAAAGCGTCCTGGTCCATCACACAAATGGCAGTGAGTCCGTCATCCTCTGATTGGACAGCCGCCTTTAGCTGGGCCAATCGTCCGCGGACAAAGCTGCGATTAAGGAAGCAGGCGAAGCGCACCGGCGAATCGCTGGTGAAGCACATGCGCCGATACACCCCTTCGTCGCTGTCGTCATTGAAGCCCTGCGTCCAGACGACCGTGTTCCGGTGGACATACAGCTCCTCCTCGTTGTTCACCATGTAGTCGCACATGGGCTCCTCGCGCCACTCCAGCGGCGGATGCAACAGACTCTGGGGCAGCGAGGTGAGCTGCGTGGCCGCCGCCGCCTTGGGACCGCACCGCTTGGTCCGCTCGATCAGCTGGCGCCGCCGGGCAGCCCGCTCCTCGGCCGCCTCGTAGTCGTCGTACAGCTCCCGGATCGTCCACGACTCCTGGCCGCCGTTCGGACCGGCATCCTCGCCGGCCGACGAGATGTTCACGTTCTGCATGCGCTGCAGCAGCAGGTGCTCCGTGGTGGGCAGCTGGTGGCGCGCCAGCGGCTGGTCGTGCGGACCCGGGTGCTCCGCGGCCGACTGACGGCCGCGCGGCACAAACTCCAGCGGCGGTTCTGCGACGGCGATCATGTCCGCATCGCCAGGTGCATCCAGAGTTGCGATTAAAGATTAATTAATTACAAATTATTCGGTCCCGTCCCGCGCTCCGATTAAAGCTGCGATTCGGCAATTCCAAAATACCGAAACACCACGCCAAAATGGCCATCAACGCCTGACGTTTTGGTTGCGACGCCAACTGGTCACACTCCGTTAACTAGTATTGGATAGAAATGCCAGGATATTTGTTCTTGGGTACATTGTTTTGAAAACCTTATTCCTTGTCCTTGACAATTGGACTTTCAGTGTCCATAACCTTACCAAATTTATTCCGATTCCAAAGTGGCATACCTCTAAAGACTTGTGATTCGATTCTCTGAAAATCTGCATTCAAAATTTTCAATTTAGCGTTTATCAATATTTTGACCCATTTTCATGTTGGTTTTTTCTAATTTTCCGATGTGTTGTAATAGAGTGACCCAAAATTGGACTTCTAGAGTCCATAACTTTACCAAATTTAATCCGATTCCAATGCGGCATACCTCTAAAGACTTGTGATTCGATTCTCAGAAAATCTGCATTCAAAATTTTCAATTTAGCGTTTATCAATATTTTGACCCATTTTCATGTTGGTTTTTTCTAATTTTCCGATGTGTTGTAATAGAGTGACCCAAAATTGGACTTCTAGAGTCCATAACTTTACCAAATTTAATCCGATTCCAATGCGGCATACCTCTAAAGACTTGTGATTCGATTCTCTGAAAATCTGCATTCAAAATTTTCAATTTAGCGTTTATCAATATTTTGACCCATTTTCATGTTGGTTATTTCTAATTTTCCGATGTGTTGTAATAGAGTGACCCAAAATTGGACTTCTAGAGTCCATAACTTTACCAAATTTAATCCGATTCCAATGCGGCATACCTCTAAAGACTTGTGATTCGATTCTCAGAAAATCTGCATTCAAAATTTTCAATTTAGCGTTTATCAATATTTTGACCCATTTTCATGTTGGTTTTTTCTAATTTTCCGATGTGTTGTAATAGAGTGACCCAAATTTGGACTTCTAGAGTCCATAACTTTACCAAATTTAATCCGATTCCAATGCGGCATACCTCTAAAGACTTGTGATTCGATTCTCTGAAAATCTGCATTCAAAATTTTCAATTTAGCGTTTATCAATATTTTGACCCATTTTCATGTTGGTTATTTCTAATTTTCCGATGTGTTGTAATAGAGTGACCCAAAATTGGACTTCTAGAGTCCATAACTTTACCAAATTTAATCCGATTCCAATGCGGCATACCTCTAAAGACTTGTGATTCGATTCTCTGAAAATCTGCATTAAAAATTTTCAATTTAGCGTTTATCAATATTTTGACCCATTTTCATGTTGGTTATTTCTAATTTTCCGATGTGTTGTAATAGAGTGACCCAAAATTGGACTTCTAGAGTCCATAACTTTACCAAATTTAATCCGATTCCAATGCGGCATACCTCTAAAGACTTGTGATTCGATTCTCAGAAAATCTGCATTCAAAATTTTCAATTTAGCGTTTATCAATATTTTGACCCATTTTCATGTTGGTTTTTTCTAATTTTCCGATGTGTTGTAATAGAGTGACCCAAAATTGGACTTCTAGAGTCCATAACTTTACCAAATTTAATCCGATTCCAAAGTGGCATACCTCTAAAGACTTGTGATTCGATTCTCTGAAAATCTGCATTCAAAATTTTCAATTTAGCGTTTATCAATATTTTGACCCATTTTCATGTTGGTTATTTCTAATTTTCCGACGTGTTGTAATAGAGTGACCCAAAATTGGACTTCTAGAGTCCATAACTTTACCAAATTTAATCCGATTTCAAAATGGCATACCTCTTAAGACTTGTGGCTTGATAATCTAAAAAACTGCATTCAAATTTTCATTTTAACGTTGATCAAATTTTTGACACATTTTCATGTCATTTTTTTTGATGACGAGTAAAACACAAGGTTGGTTTTGGTGTCTTCCAAACAGCTGTTTTTCGACCCGAATAAACTCTTAAGATTTTTTAGTTGCCTAAAAAAAACGATCACCTTTATTTCGGTTGTTTTATCAAAGTCCTGGGAAATAAAGGTCCAATGCTGGAATATAATACATTGGAATTTGTTATACAATTTCCAATCAAGTTGCATTCACAGCTAAACAATTTTGTCCAGCCTTGCATTTTGTTTCATAGCAATCACCTTTCAGTTCCCCTCCGCCCAAGCGGTTATTTGCAGCAATCAGCTTCGTTCCGCCCACGCCAGTGGTTACTTGAAACGTGTGGCAGCACTGGACCGTATTTTGTTGTGCTTTTTTTTCGCGACATTGGAATTTCAGGATTTCGGGATTTGGTCGAGGAAACCCGGCAGCGGAAATTCTGGAGTGGATCGGCGATGAGCAGCGGCACCGCCGGCTGCAAGCGCGTGCACAGCATCGAGGTTGAGCAGCCGCTGGAGGCGGAGCGCGTGCAGCACGGCCTTTTGCTGGTCAAGGGGCGTCTGCAGCCCAAGTGCTCCACGGCGCGGCAACTGAAGGCCACCCTCGATCTGCCCGAGAATCCGCCCCGCGAGCAGTTGACCCAGCTGTCGGCCACCGGCGAGTTCAAGCTGCTCTTCGACTTGGAGCAGCCGGAAACGGGTCCAGAACCGAAACCAGAGTGTGGGGATTCAGACGAGAGCGTCTGCCTGCTGGAGTTGCGCTCCTGCACTGCCGCCCGCCTGATTCGGTTCAAGTACAAGCCCCGGCAGAGCTCCTACCGGGTGCAGCCGCTCTACCTGCTCTGCCAGGACGAGGAGAAGCCGGTGGAGCAGCAGCGCCAGGTGCAATCCCTCATCGATCTCAATCTGCGCCTCGTGCAATCCATCTACGCCCACAAGCTACAGGCAGCTGGCTTTGCCAACCGCACCTTCACTTTGAACGGCGAGTGCTGCTCCTTCCGCAGCCAGTTGACCCGTGAACAGGCGCTGGCCAAAAGCGAGGACGAGCTGTGGCAGCACTTCGCCGGCGAGATCATCGCCTGCCCGCAGTGGGGTCACCAGATCCTCCTCAAGTTCGTGGCCTTCGTGGCCTGCACACACTACGACGGCGACGGAGTGGCGGCCAGTGGCGACTCCTCGTACGCGAGCATACGGCGGCATTTGAAGGGACACGCCGCCCTGGGAGGCGGCGGACTGGCCCTGTTCGGCAGCGCCCACTTCTACGCCTGGCCCAGGACCTTCTCGGAGATCGGGGACTGTGTGCGGAGCACGGAACGGGTGGACATCGCGCGGCTGCCGGACGAGAGCAACTACAGGCGGACGTACGGCGGCGTGTACGCCAGCACCTTGGGCGCCGTGTGCCACGAGCTGGGCCACTGCTTCGACCTGGGCCACACCACCGAGGGGGTGATGGGCCAGGGCTTCGACTATCTCAATCGTGTGTTGACTGTGGATCAGCCCACGGAGCATTTACCGCAGAGGATCGTGACGGCAGCGGGAGCAGCCAGGAGGACAGCCGCAGCCGCATCTGCTGGCCCATCGGAGGGATCCGCTGCCCAGCGGCCTCGCTTCACCAAGCTGAAGCTGCAGAGCAGCAGCCAACTGCTGGACAACTATCACAACCAAAGGCGCCACGACAGCTTCTACTTTGGCCGCAATTGCGCCGTCATTTTGGCCAACCATCGCTGGCTCAACCTGGAACTGGAGGAGACCGCTGCCAGCTTTGAACCCGCCGATATCCAGCTGAACTGGGCCACCAAGGAGATCGTGTCCAGCAGGCCCATCCGGTTGGTAGAGCTGCGCTGCAATCAGAACAGCCTGGTGGCCCACTACGAGGAGTTCGAAGCGAGGGGCGGTGAGGAGGCGCCTGTGCACCGCTTCCAGCTGCCCGCTTCGCTGTGGCATCTCCTCGCGGAGCAGCGCACCCACTACGTTTTTGTACTGACCACCAGTGGCGACACCAAGCGGCTTTCCTGTGATCTCTAAGACTAGAAGCATTGGAAGTGGAGCAGTTGGAGGAGCAGGAGCATTAGTAGAAGTAATCCAGCCAGGTGAGTCACCATTCCTTGGCGTTTAAATATTAAAGATGTCTGTGGATCACTGACTTCCAATGCCAATTTAAAAGTTTTTAAAAACACATATTTTTAACATATAAAAGAATAATGGAATGGGAAGCTTTGGTTTAAAGTAAATTCGTATTCGGTAAATGTCGCTATTTAAAAATTCTCTGCCCAAGGGTATATAAAAGGGTATTCTACTCGAAATTATCAGTTACTCTTGAACTGCAGCCCCTCAACCATAATTTTAAACTCGCGGAAGGGAGCAAACATTTGTGGGAGCACCTAAACTGCTCAAGTGTGTGGGTTTGTTTGAAGCCAATTCCATTTAGAGGCAATCAATTAAGGTGATAAACACTCTGGGGAATTGATTCCCCGCCACCCAAAACAAATTACCTGATAACCCCACCTGTCATCGCTGAGTCATTCCTTTATTACCAACTTGTTAGTGCAGTTCAGCTGTTAGTTTTCCAAAAACCAACCTGTGTGAACTCTACTGTGGTGCCATTTGAATTAGAATAGTGAAAAAGTAATGCCATAAATTTATGGAATTTTTGGAAGGCGATAACGTTTCCAACGCTATCAGTTGGTTATTCCATTTCATAAAATTATATGATTTCTAGTTTGTTATTCAATGTTTTTATTTTTTTTGATTAACCTTTTTATGTGTTTTTATTTACATATTTTTCTTAATTGCCAATTTTTAATTCTTTAAGCAGTGTTTTCCATTTAAAAAAAATGTGTAGTTTTCTATTAATAATTATCTAACACTTGAAATATATTTTCTTCAACGAATGACCTAATAGATTAATAAGTGTTTTCAAGTTTTATTTTGTATTGGCAGAAATAGCTTTACTGTGTAAAAACACTTTTTTAAGCATGTACATGAATTACATTACTTTCAGTTAGTTTATTTGTATTATATACATTTTCTATATTCTTACAAACAATTAATAATAATTAATACGTTTATTATAGACAACATTTTCTTGCTTCTACAAAAAAGAACTCTTAATATCATTCATTTACAACAGGCTTATACTATCAAATTAATAATTGAAGATCTCTTGCTCATAAAAATAAATGCCTGAACAGCTTTTCACTTTGCATCTGTTTTCTGTTGTTCCTGTTAAAAATTTAAATTAATTAAATTTAAAATTTATTTAGACTTGAGAAATAAATTTAATAATTAGGTTAAAACCAATATTTTGGTTTAAGAAATACGATTTTCTGTATACATAAGGCAATAAACACAGTGCCATATGCGGAGTATCTCTGAGTTTAATGCCAACCAAATTGAGTTTTTGCCCATTGTGCACGATAGAGCTGCGATCCAATCAGGTTTTGTGCCAACTGCTGTTGCGTTGGTTCTATCGGATCGGATTGGATCGGATCGAGCGCTCTTTCGCTCAGTCGCTCTCGAAGCTAAGTCACCAGCTCGTGTTGCGTTGCGTCGAATGGGTTAAAGCTCTGGTCTGGCCTGGCCTGGCATTCCCTGGCATTCCCTGGCCCCTTATCCACGAATCTAGGGAGCCGAGCACACTCGCATTCCACTTGTGCTTCACTCTCCATTATCGCAGTTGCGTCGGCGAACGGCGTTCGATGGTAGTGGCAATTGGAAATACGTAAATAATAATATTCAACGCGCGATAAGATAAACACCGAAAATTCATGTTCGGAAACCAGTGCCACCGCATTGATTCACCAATTCTCGCACATCCATTTGCAGATTTTTGGTCAGTCTTCGTTCGGAACGCTTTGCCAGCAGTCGAATTAGGAATTGGAACAGGAATAGGAGCACATGATGGCAGCCAGCGAAGGATCCGCGCGAGTTCAGTTCAAGGCGCTGAAGGGGTTTCCGCCAAATACCACTGATAAGTTGGAGACACAGGCCTTCCTCGCCGCCTCCAAGGAGATAGTGACCGTAATAGGTGATAACACACGCCCAATCGATCCACCAACATATACCTATTTATTCCACATTTTTTCAGAGACCTTCGGCAAACTCTTCACACCCGTGATTAACGACATGAACGGAAACATAAACGTAAGATTATCTGCGAACTGAGCTAGTAGTTATAGTTTATAGGTTTTGGATAGGTTTGTGCATAGTGCTAAAATCAAACTTTTCCTATGCAAATTACTTTATAGTTTGTTTAATTTATTTCTTACTATCAAAGTAGATTAAAACTTATCAGCAAGCTTTCATTTTCTATAAAATTTAAGGTTTAAATTTCCATGGAATAATTTAAAACTTGATCTCCGAAATTATTTAATCAAAGCATTATTTTAATCAAATGCAGATTGCATTTATAAAAGTGTTAATTGTATCATTTATTTTTTATTTTTATTTTTTTAAAACAAATGTTTAAAAAGAAAACTTGCTTCCGTATCTGAAAATGGAACTTCCATTTCATTCATGCTTAAACATTTGTTAAAGCTTTTAATGAAATTCCATTTCCGAGAGCTAAATGACTTTATTATTATACCTTGGTTAACTCAGTTTGAATTTTTTTGTTCTCATTATAATTTAAAATTTTACTGACTTCATCAATTAGTTCAGATCAGATTATGGATAGGGAAAATATTACACATATGTTTAAGTTGTGTTCAATGGAATTTTTTATTTGTTAGAAAATATTGATTTTAAAGCAATAGCTTTAGGGTTAAAAAGGCTTAAAAATAAATTGAGATACCTTATTAAGAACATTGCCTCCCAATTGCGTTGCTTACACCACTCTCTCCATTTTTTGTTGTAGAAACTAACTAAAGCCTACGGATCGGACGTGTTGAAGTACCAGTATCTGGAGGATCTGATTGTGCTGAATGTGAACGTGGATGACTTTGCAGCGAACGCGCTGCTCTGGCTAAAGCGTGGCCTCCAGCTTATTTGCGCCTTCTTCGAGAACATCTACAACGATGCGCAGGCCAAGGAGGCACTGAAGCAGCACCTGCAGGACGCCTACGAGCGCACCCTGAAGCCCTACCACGGCTTCATTGTCCAGAGCACAATAAAGGTGGGTTCCGCCCCATTCGGGGTATCTTCTCCTTTTCATTCTGTGGTTATTCAATATAGACAATCTATCCCATCTTGCAGATCATCTACAGCTGGGTACCCACTCGCAGCCAGTTACTTGGCCAGGGCGCCGCCCAGGCGGAGAATATCGAGGTGCTGGCCAGTTTTCTGCCCACGATGCGTGCCCATCTGGACTCGATCGATGCCCTGCTGAAGGCGCACAACCTGGACGATGCGCGGAAGGTGTGATCTGCGGGAAACATGCCATGCCATGCCATGCCGTTCCTTAGCTTAGCCTAGCCTAAATAGCTTATCCTACTTTATTATTTATGCCTATGTCCAAGTAAACCTCAGAGCCTTACTCTACACTCGATCTCCACTTCACTTCGATTCCGGGGAGCGTCGCACGCGGCGTTTTAGTTCGCTGGAGGTGGGCGATCCTACGGCGGATAGGTGCTCTTCCGGCAGCACCTCCTCCTCCAGTTCTAGGGAGATCGGCATCTTCTGAGCTGGCTTACAGATCACAAAGTGGACCAGGGATACGATTACCTCCAGGGCTATCATTCCAAACACGGCATTCGTGATAATGCGAAGCCATAGACTGCGTCCGGCGGTGGAAAGGCGCAGGAATACCATAGCGGGCAGCAGGATGCAGGGCGTTACCGTGAGCAGCAACCACATGGCGGTAGCCCCAGAGCACAGGTTGACGGAGTAGCCGGCCCACAAGCGTACGGATTCGGCGGACACGGCCAGGATGTAGGCTACCAGCATGGACAGGCCCTCCAAGTTCCACAAGTGATTAAACTAAAGGGTCAATCGAAAAAAGGGTTTTTGCGGAATACGTTAGGGGAACACTTCGATGTGGACTCACGCGGATGAGCATATGGACAATGTAGCTCATGGCCCACACCATGGACACATAGGTATTGGCCTGGAGCAGCATCTGGAGCACCAGATTCGCCCGATGTGGCGACACTGAATACGCCATTTGGAACTAGGTTTCTTTTTCTCCTGAGTGTTTCGCTTGTTTTGCGACTTAATGTTGTACTTCGCCTATTGTATTTTTCGTTGGTTGTCAGGGTAACGAAATCAGCTGGGAAATCCTGTCGGCCGCTGGACTTTAGCTAAATGCTATCGCACTCAAATAGTCCTTAAGAAAATTAATTTGATGCGAATGTTGCCCTTCCCACTAAAATTGAGATTGTAATTCAATTTATTTTTGACGTTTTTTAAAGCATTACAAAATAACTAGATTGAAATGCATTTGTAAAACATTTTGTTTTACAAATAATTGGATTGGGGTTCACAAATGCTATCTAAGCATGATCTGACTACATATTTTGCAAAAGCTTTGATGACAATTCCTATTCCATCTATCTGCGGTCAAAATTAAAAACAAAAAATTAACAAAGCCGTGATACAACTTCTATTAATCAACATTCTTAATACGATTTATTTAAAATGAATAGAGCATACTCTAAAACGCATTTTTGAAGACTTTTAACGGGAAAAATATTCAACTACCAGAGGCTTAAAAGTTTGCCAACACCTTTTCACAGCACATTAATTGCCAAAGTTACCATGACATCAACCATTAAAAGGGCGAAACTAAACAAATAAAAATAAACACAGCGGAATTAGAGATTGACTGAAACTGAACATGCAGTTGGTCCAGTGGTGCAGTCTGCTGGTCATCGTCCTGGCCACCGTCATTCGGCAGGTGTCCCTGGGCATTAACTCAAACGAGCGCCGTTTCCAGTGCCTGCAGTCTCGGATGCTCGGCCAGACCAACTGTTCGCCGTGCGCCGAGCTGTACGTCTTCAACCGGACTTCCGGCTACCGGCGGTGCGAGCACGTCAACGGGCGGTGCTATCCACAGCGGACCGTCTTCGCCACAGCCCGTCTGTGCGAGATCATCTGCCAGCCGTACATCCAGCGACCCACGCTCCACGAGTTCACCACCCCGGTGGCACCCGTCATAGAGCCCTACTTAGACAGCGACGAGGAATTCCAGTGAGGCTTCAACAAAAACAGGCTTCTTTTAATTCATTTGGGTGTTCTTATGGGAATGATTTTGTATAGGATGATTATGTTATGGCGATGATGGTGAGTGAAGTAATGCCATGAGGAGATTCGGGTTCAGTGGGGCACACTGGTGTTGATGGCCACTTCCAAGGCAGTTACTGCGAGATAAAAAAAAGGAGAATAAGAACCGGAATCAGCAGTGGGCTGCAAATAACTTACGGAATCCGTGATCGTGCTTGTACACCAGCGTGTTGATAATCTCGGCCAGCGTCTGATGGCACCGTATGTACGTCACCTCGATCTCCACCACCTGGTTTAGGGCCAAATACTCCAAGGTCCGGCCATCCGACTCGCTGTCCGCATCGCCGTACTCCGAAGTAGTAAGATCCAAGCTGAGGGCGTCGTTATCGCCAAGGTAACAGGCGCAGCTGGCCCACTCCATGTCCAGCACGTAGACCAGATGGAAGAGCTGCTCGAGGGCCACGCGAAAGGTGGCAAATTCGTCTGTCAGCATGCAATGGGTCAACAGCAGCGCCATATACTCGTCGTGCAGGGTGCTCAACTGTCGGATGTTCTTGCACTGACCGATCCGGAGCTCAAACTGCTGGCCCACGGCCTGCATAATGTGTGTGTGGAGGCTGTTGATGAGGTAAATCAACCAGAAGCGCAAGATCTCCAGGCGGCGTATCGTCAGACCGACCAGATCCAAAGGCGCAGAAGGACTTCTGTCTTTACGACGCAAAAATGCGAGATTCTCCAGCTTCCATGCGGCCCACTTCACTTTCAGCATCAGCCGCCACACCGAGTTGTAGCCTTGCATGTGTTTTTCCGTGAGGATACGCTGCAGGCCCACTTCCATGTCGTAGACCAGTTTGAGGGCCTCCAGGGCCTCGTAAGGTTTATAGGAAGTACTGGCGATCTTGGATATCACCTTTACATGGATGTTGTCGGCCAGTTGCGGGTAGTGCGGCAATAGCACCTCATATAGTGTGGCACTGAGCACCGAACTCCTGGCCCAGTGATCGCCGTTCTCAATTTGCGAGAAGAGTGCGGTGTAGTAGGGTAGGTGTAGGAAGTACGCCTCCAGCAACATCGTGTGCCGCAAGAATCGCACATGCTCGGCCAGCTGCAAATCCACGCGGTACGCTCGCATAGCGTACTCATTCGCCAGGCACTGCCTTCTCCGCAGGATCTCGCGCAATGCCTCCGGGAGCTCGTCCCTCAGCGCAAGCGTATTGGAGCGCTCCAAGCGCTTTAGAATGTTAGTAAATTGCATCGGCTTTTTGGTCTCACGGCAGCGTTGTCGCTCCAAAAGACGCACCTGCGCCGGTCGGGTTAGTATGGCCATTAGATCACGATTCTGAATGCCCTGTGCATTCTTCACCAACAGCTCGTCGGCCGCCTGACCCATTTCTTTTTCCGGCTCCTGGGCATCTTCCTCATCCGCTGGCACGGGACCACAATAGGTTTCTATCTGAGTGAACAGCTGTGCGGCCAGCTCATCGTAGAGAAACAGCGGCTGTTTTTTGTTGCTGGTGGTCAACATTTCGCCCAGCAGATTTACGTTGGCCAGCAAATCCTGTGTGTCTCCAGACTCCAGGGCGTGGTCCAGCATTAGCTGGTAAAAAGGGCAGGAGTGCAGCTTTTTGAAGATCTCTACGGCCTGAGGACCTTCATCCGGATGCACACAACGCTTGCGCACATAGCTACGTCGCTCCGAGTCCTCCTCGACCCTTCAAAACAAAACAGTTATAAATTTGAATAACAGAAATAATGAGGTTTCTATCACCATCTCTCCACGATGAACTCGTTCCGCCGATCCTCAAGCGTGGCCCTGCGCCACCAGGAGTCGATGATGTTGCAGTACCGCTCAAGGGAAACTAACAGCAGGGCAGTTGCCAGCTTCTGGTGCGGCACCTGCGGATTCGTGTGCCTAGAAAGTCTAGATAGCAAATAGGCGCTCCGCAGATGCGGAGGTCCTTTTTTCAGGATGACATCTTCGGCCAGGTGGCGCAACAAACGCAGCTGTTTAAAGTGTTTTCTAAACTGAAACACAAACATGATCAGCGTAGTTTTTGCGGGATCATCATAGACAAGCTGCTCGTAGGCGATGAGCAGCTGGGAAATTGGCCGGACAAGATCCCTCAAGCCGTAGGCAAAGCATTCCAAGGTACCCGTAGTTGAGTCATCAAAGGCTAACGTGTGCTCATCGATGATGCGGCGCAGCTCCAACATGTCCTCTAGTGCAGGAACCACATTACCTTGCAGGAAATCTTGCATTGTGCCCTGGACAAAATTTAGGATTATGGGGAGATTCCCTTTATAAACACACACACTTACCGCTGCCACAGTGCAGATGCTGACATTTGAACGGGCAACAATGCGCCGCGTCTGCTCGTTAAATTCGAAGAAGCAACAACTGGCCGGTCGCACGAACATTAGGAGGATCTCCCGCAGCAGGCACGGCTCCGTGGTGGTGTTCGGCAGCGGCAGTTTTATCAACCCACGGGCGTTTCGGTTCAGAAACTGTACATAGCTCACGGCAAAGTTGGCCAATGGATCGGCATCCGGGGGCAGGGCAAATACTTTAATATCATGGCGCCACCAGTGGGCGTGGATTGTCCGCGGCAGCAGGTCCGAATTTCGGTCACTGGTTTCGTATTCGGTGGCTGTGGCCGGCGGCTGTGGTGCCTCCAACTGAGGCAACCTACTCAGCCTTAGATGAGGGCTCTGATTGTTTAGGGTTAGCACCAGTGGCAAGCCGATCCGGAAGACGCTACTCCGGACGCCACGTTCGTGGGGAGCAGCCGGCAGAAAGCTGGTAGTGCCACTTTCAGTCGCTGCGGCCACTTGCATGGCCCGCTCATAAACACTGGCCATGTCCGGGAGCTCCAGTGTGGTGCCCATATTTTCATCGGGCCGAAGCGTACTCGACGTGTCACAATCCGAAACATCTGACCAGTCCTTTTGGGAAGAAGAGATGTGTATTATTATCCTGCATTATCGGAAATCTACTATAGGTAATAAGTAAGTAAGCAATGCTTAAATGATAGTATAAATAACTGACAAGCTGGAGCTCTTCAGTATCTATAGCTGAAGAATTAAGTTTTAACTAAAGACGTTCACAGCTACAAGTTTTAATGATGTTTAGTCACCTAAAACGATCTTACTAGGTTAGTAAGGTAACCTTAAAGAAGTATTTAAAATTACTTTGTTTCAAACTGCCGTCCATTGTAATGTTATAAGAATGATAGGGCTAATTATAGGGTTCCTAAAATGCTCACACTCAAACTGTCCGAGCTGTTATCGTCATCCCCCGGTGGATCGAGGAAGTCCTCGCTGAGCAACGCCGTCCAGTCCACCTCCGTTTCGGCGGGATTGGGCGGTGGGTGGAGGGCGGCCTTCTCCTCCTGCTCCTGCCGCTCGGCTGCCTCTATGACGACGACTAGGGACCGCCGTAGCTCGTTGATCAGCTCCCGGTGCCGCCGGATGTTCTGCACGGGCTCGTTGGTCATGCTGAGCAGGAAGTCCAGCAACGACAACTCCACGTCCGGCTCACCTATGTCTTCCAGTTCAGGTAGCGGCAGCAGCTTGGTGACCAGCTCCCCGACGGCGTCCCCGAACGTGGACATGCCCGGTTCCTCCCGGAATCGCTCCACCAGAAGGTCCAGGGTGCGGCTCGCCTTGCTGCAGATGGTGCTCCAGTAACGGTACTTGCGGATCAGCTTCCACGCCCGCAGCTCGTTCTTGCGCAGATCCTGCTCGCTGGCCTGTGTTTGTAATCCATGGATTAATTGGAGTGGAAATCGATCTGTTTATTCTCATCTGTTTAGCTTACCTTCCTACCCGACAGCTTCCTGACCAGTTTCTCCACATTGTCCGCAATGGCGGCCTTGCGCTCCGCTCTGGTCATGCCTTTGGGTGTCAACCATTTGCCTTTACCCGCGGGAGGCGTCATTTCGCCTAAATTAATTCTAAATTAATTCTTGAGTATTAATTTTAAATTTAATTGCGAGCAACAAGAACCGTTCATCGGTATTCCAGCGGTGGTGCCATCGATAAACTGGAACTAACGGTTCATTTGTGAGGTAGTTCCAATAATATATCAAAGCCTTAATCGATAACTCGATATCAAAATAAAGTATAAACAAAGCTGTTTATTATCAACTTGTTGTCATTTAAATTGCATTTCTGGAGGGAATCATGACCGACCGCGTGTCCCACCCCACCTACGTGATTCTGGGCTCCGGCGGCCACACGGCGGAGATGTGCCGACTGACCCAGGCTCTGCTGCAGCAGGCCGACGTCAAGCAGGCGAAGAAATACCAGCCCATGCGCCTGATCCTGGCCAGCAGTGACTCCACCTCCGAGCACCAGTTCAGGCAGGCCCTGCCGCAGGCATCCCGGTCGGCGGAATCGGTCAAGGTGCCGCGTAGCCGCAGCGTGGGCCAATCCTGGCTGAGCACCATCTTCACCAGCCTGTGGGCGCTAATCTGGAGCTGCTACCTGGTGTGGCGAGACCGGCCGCAGCTAATTCTCTGCAACGGACCCGGCACCTGTGTGCCCTTCTGCTACGCAGCCTATTTGTGGCGCCTCCTCGGACGCCTGCCCTCGCACTCCAGGATCGTCTTTGTTGAGAGCTTCTGCCGCGTGGAGACGCTCTCCTTGAGCGGACGCCTGCTCCTGCCACTGACGGATCTCTTCGTAGTCCACTGGCCGGCCCTAGCCACCCGCTACGCGGATAAAAAGAACCTGCGATATTTCGGTCGTATCTTGTAACATAAATTTATTCAAAAAGGTTCAACAGACGAAAATGAAAATGGTACTCATACGGTACAAAAACTTTAAACATAAACAAGCCTCCTTTGCGGAGTAGAGAGTGAAAACCTAGCGCTTTTTGGCCTTGCAGAGGGAGCGATGCGCCTCCAGCTGGTGGCCCATCAGCTCCTGGCCGCATTTGGGGCAATTCACGGTCGTTTTGAACAAATTGCGCTGGCGGCGCTGGCGGGGAGTTAGCTCATCCTCACTGGACAGCACGGTGGTCGAATCGCTGGAGGAGCTAAGGTTTAGCTCGTCGATCTCCTTTTCAGTGTATCCAGCATTGCGAAGAATTTGTTTCGAATCAGTGCGCTTTGACTTGGAGGCGCGTGAAGTCGAAGGCCTCGAGGTGGATGACCTGTTGGATATTGGTAGGCCCCCCTTTGACTTATAGTCCACGCGCACTGTGATGCTGCAGCCCTCGAAGTGATTTTCCAGCTGCGTTCGCTTCATCTTCTCAAAGCAAATGGGACAGGAGACGATGTCGTTGTTCACATTGCTTGAGTAGTTCGAGCAGCTTGGCTGCACGGCGTTCTCGCGCTGGAACTCCTGCAGCAGGGTATCCTCCCCGAAGAGATCATCGATGATGGACTGATCGGCCAGTTCCGTGGCCGCTGTGAGACTGGCATCGCTGGCCGCCGCCTCCTCATCATCGTATTCGTCATCGATGAAGAGGATATCGTCCTCGGAATATACAGATTCGTCCTCCATTACCTCGCGTTTGATGATCTGGCTGCGCTCATGACTGCTCATTGTGTTCCTAGCAACTGGCACCATGGACTTCTCCTCCGCCGGCTGCTCCTCATCGCTTTCGCTGTCGACCAGTTCTATCACGGGCACTTCCACATTTTTGACCATTATATCATCGTCGTAGGACTCCCAGCTGACTATATCTTCATCACTGGACACCCGGCGACGCTTTTTGCCTGTATCCAATTGGGATTTCTTTGGCTCTTTAGTGGAATTAGCCTGACCGAACCGCTCTAGACGTTTATTTCGGAGTTGAGAAGTATTGGGACTATCATTGCCGGTAATATCGATGACTGCTCCGGCGCCAGCTCCACCCACGCTGTAGCCCTGTCCAGTCATCTCAGTGGCTGCCTTTGAAGGCTGGCGTGCTCCCGGACGTTCATCCTCCTCGCCACTGCTATTGAGATCGCCGAAGCTTACAATGTTTGCGCCACGGGGTTTAGATGCAGCTGGTGGCTTGGGCATCACAAAGGGGTCGGAGGAGAGTCCTGGGTATGAGGTCGGTGGCACGGCGCTGACCAGATCGCCAAGCATAGCTGACTCGATTGCTGGTTTCTTGGAAGCCGGCTTGGCCAGCCAGTTACGTATGTTCCCTTTGGGCTCAGCCACTGGCGGTATAGTCTTCTTTGCCCTCGGCTTCACCTCGGGCTTGGGGGGCTTGGGCGGCTCACCCACCTTCATGAAGGTGCCGCCACAGTCGCGCTGGTGCTTCTCCCACCACTGGTCACTGGGCCCGGGTGCCCGGTTGCTGGTGCGCTTCACATAGCCCCGGAAGGGCGTACGCTCCTGGCAAATGCCCGTGCAGCGCCAGATGTGGGTGCGATAGGCGGCCACCTCGTCGTGGAAGGTGTGATAAACAGAGATGTTGGTACCCGCCACCTTGTTGATCATCTCCATCATGCGCTTGAAGTTGGGCCCATGACCTCCATTGCCTTCGCGTACGTTGAGTATGAAGAAGTAGGCGTGGATCATCTCGTGCTGGGTAAACGGGAATTGTTTGAGATTACTTGGCGATTCTAGGCATTTAGTAAACGATATATTTTTGCAGTTTAGACATATAAAATTGAAGTTTTATAGAGACGGAAATGTACTGTTTATCGAGTAATATACACCACAAGAAGTGTACGTAGGTGAAATGCATGCTAAAATGCGAATGTTGCTAGATCTAATCGGTTCAAATGTTATTATTACTATTTAAAAGGGATATATGTACCAAATACAGGTAGGAAAGTATGTTTTCAACAGATTTCAAGATGGCAGAACAAGGGGCATACTGTAGCACAACAATCTGCGAATCCTTACCAGTAGTGTCTCCACGAGGTCCTTGCGCGGACGCAACTTAAGCAGTGGCTCGCTCAGCCGAATGATGATCTCCTTAACGTATCGATTGCCCCGCTGGTAGCAGATGCCCGCGCACGAGTACATTCGCTTGCTCCACTCGAGGGCGACGGCACCCAGGCGCTTCTGGAAGAACTTCTCGTCGAAGCGCACGAACATGGAGAAGATGTCCGGAGAGGGATCGACCAGCTCCCACTCCGGATGCACCAGGTTCATCGTCTGGTTGAGATAGTCATCATGGCTACTCTGAATGGCGCGCACTGGTGGCCTCTCCATTGAAGTATTTTTGTGGTTCTGTGTATTCTGGTTGAGATTCGACATTGACAAGGGTCTTGGATGAATGGGGAATCCAGCAAAGGCATGCTGGGAACACTTACAGATTTTGCCCGACTTTTAGGGTAGACGAACTGAATGTCGGTGTCCAACTCACTGGCCAGGCCCTCTTCTTCGCGCTCATTCTCTGAATCCATGAGGGCCTGCAGCTTCAGGGCCATCTGGTAGTCCGAGTCATGCACATTCTGGAGTAAGGATTACGATTAATCAGTTCTTTGCACATTTTCTACTACGTACTTTGTTTTCGGCACTGGCTGCGGAGTTTCCCTGCTCGGGCTCGGAGTTCAGCTGCTCCTGCAGCATCAGGGCGAACCGATAGTCGTCCCCCTGCGACATGATGGACGTCTCGTTGACTGTGGCTCAATCTCGACCGAATTTGTGGCTTCCAGAGATGTCTATTGATCAATTATCAAAAAATGAATTGGGTTCGCGCTTTTCGATCGCTATGAGACCAAGCATTCTTGTGTGGAAAATACCTAGAGGATAATATATCGATACTTCGGTATATCGAATCGATGCTTCAGATAAATAAATAGGGTATTCCCAAACGACTAAATTGTTGAAAATTGAATAAACATTTTCACCATTAGAGAAATCGAACTTTTTCTGTTAAATTACTGGGACCTAACCTGAAACATATTTTATTATTATGAGCTCAAAACTATGAACTAACCGTATCACTCCCTAATTTGGTTCCATAGTAAATAATACGTGATCCAAAACTAATATACTAAAAAAATGCCCATACCTTAAATAATGATAAACTTCATTTTTTAACAAAAGAAATCCTTCACCTATAAAAGACACACAAAATAATGAAAAGCACCAAAATCATTCCTTCCATGATTTTGGAATAATGGCTTTTTTGTCCCATTTTTTCAAACGTATTTTAAAATTATTATTATTTTTTTTTAATTAATTGTATTTATTTCAAAATAATGATTAAAGATTTGTTTTTTTTTGCAATTTGTTCAAAACTTTCCGAATTCTGTGTTAGATCTCACATCAATATTGTTTTAAGTGCTTGCAAATAATAGTTATAAAGTACATTTGACCAAAAATAATGATTTTCATTGAAGAAAACGGTAAAAAACTTAAATTAAATATAAACTCATTTTATCAAATATAATGATTTTCATTGAAGAAAAAGGAAACAGACTTCAATGGTTTTTTTTATAATAGTTATCAACTACTTTTTATCAAAAATAATAATTTTCATCCAAGATAACGGTGAAAAATTTAAAATGATTTTTATTTTTATAGTAGTTTTATTGAAGCAATAGGTGAACATCTTAAATATTTTCATTTTTATAATAGTTATGCACTACATTTGATTAAAAATTAGATTTTCAAGGTATTGGAATGGAATTGTAATAAAAAAGACAGCCCAATTGCTAAAACTTCTAAAAGCCGAATTCATGTGGAACCAAATGAAGCAATTCAGCAATTCAATCATTAAGGGGATTCCCAAATGAAAGTTTACGATAGTAAATAAGGCTTGCAGATTGGTGTCCTTACAAAATAGCTAATTTTGAACTTAATTACTTAAGGAAATATTTAATTACATATATTAAACGAGGTTCTTATAATTTAAAGGAAAACAACGAATAAAGGGTTATCGCAAAATGTCCATCTCTAGTTAAAGCGCTTTTTTTAAATTCTTGGAATTACATTAATTCTGCGCATGCGCGACTTTTCAGGACATTTGCATTACACAGCTTGCCATTAATTCTTGAGGATGGCAGAACATCTTTGAAATGCTCCTGAGTTACTCCTGCATATGTGCATTATTCAAATCTAGAGTGGATTTAGGGAGGGGAGAAGAGTCCCAAACATGGCATCGATATCGGGATATCCTACGTATCGATGCTGCGAGTCGCCATTGTCATTTAAGCGCACATCACCTATCTAATCAGTTTCCGCATCCATTTCCGTTTCCGGAAAAGTCGAGCCGGCCCGGCTAAGCGGAGTGATTTAAGTGAATAAAGGAGCGAAGTGATTTTTTACTGCAGCTGCTTAGAGATGAAGTACGTTAGCAAGCGCCAAAGAAAGCGAAAGCACTTCTATGATTCGGCAAATGTGCTCGAAAGCGATGACAATGCTCAATCGGGGAAACCTAAGCGTATCACTAAGAAAACCAAAGTGAAGCGTAGCCAGAAGAATCCGGCACAAATTGTGAGTAGTGTAGATTTGCGGAGGGGGGACTGCCCCCTCTCAAGTTTGCGTGATAATTTCATTTCGCTGCTAATCTTCAGATGGCCACTACAAAAAACTTCGCTCTGACTCCAAACCATACCGCCGGTAAGCCCTAATCCATCTCCCTTCCTCTCCCCTCCCCTCCACTCCTCTCATCCATTAAGATCGTCTGTCCGGCGTCATAAACAAAGCCCACGAACCACCGTAAATATAAACAATTCGCGAGACGCTTGTTTTTTTTTGTTTTTGCTGACCGTGAATATGAAATGCTAGCCAAAACACAACAAATTCTGTCCAAAATCACAAATCATTCATTGGATTGTTTCTCTTGCCATACATTTTCCGAATCTTCCGGGTGGAAAACTCTGAAACCCAGTAGTCTGAATTCTTCCCCAAACTCTTGATGAATTTCTTCCATTTTCTTTTTTGTTTCTTTTAGCTGTCATCCTGTTATTTGTTTCTGTCATTCTATAGCCCTCTCACTCTCACTCTTGCTTTGTGTTAGTGTTGGTTAGGAAAGTTTGTCGAAGAATGCGACAGCATATCATTCTCATTTTGACATTTGAGCATTTGCGAAGATTATTCGGATTTTTCCTTGCAAGAGTATGGAAGTAAAAGGTATTTCTTATCCGATTGATCGGGCTTTTAATTCAAAAAAAGAGGATACAAGCATAAGAAAATGTAAAAATAGTCTGCCTTTTTCCCAATTTATTCCTGATTTGGGAACAAAAAACTTTCTCCCTAATTACAGTTACATTCATTTACAGTTATTTTCCTTTGCTTCATTATTGCTATAGATTACTCTATCTTTTAACTTACTTTTTTGCAATAACGTACAGTGCCTTGGGGATTGCCTACTTAGTATTAACTTAAGCAAGCTGCTTTATTTGTTTTTCCCTAAAAGAAACAACTTTTTTGTATTTAAATCCTCGTATGAAAGTCGGAAACGCTATAAGATTGCCAAAAAAGAAAAAACGTTTTAATCGGATAGTGTTTAAAAACTACTGCGGGAATGTCCTGTTTTCCCAACTGACCACTTTGATATGTTTTTCTCACTTGCATTTCCCCCTCCGCAGCACCTCGCCGCCCCCGTAAGGCCCTGTTGCCCACGCCACTGCTACCGCCACCACCACCACCACCCCCCGACCAGTCCTCCCACTCCGAAGGGGGCAGCAGCAGCAGCTCCAGCAGCCAGGAGAGCAGCCTGGCCATCGGGAATGCGAAGGACACGAGGCAGAGCAGCGGCAGCGGCGATCTGGAGCGGGAGAGCTTGGAGCGTTCCCAGGGACACCATAAGCACAACGTCCAGGCCCTCACCCTGGCCAGCTTCATTGATCCGGATCTGCTCAAGCGGACAGGCGGAGGCAAATGCCTCAAGTCTCCGGACAAGCCACTGACACCGCCGCCGTCACCGCCGCCTCCTCCCCCTCCCCCGCCGCCGCCGCCGCCGCCTCCTCCCCCGCCGCCGCCGCCACCGCCCCCAAAACATTCACCCAGATCCGATTTGACCAGCCCCTGGGATGGTATATGCTCGGTGGCTGGATCCCATTGACGAACGATTTCGGAGAGGATCCCGATTTGTGGATCTCTAGTCAGGCAGCCATACCGCGCACCTCCGTCCTCTGCGATAAGGCGGATTTTGGGCCATTGACGGCCACCAAAGTGGGGGATGATGGGCTCCCATTGCCGCCGATGTGGAGCAATCCCCTCAAGCTGCCAGATGAACGCGATGATGAGGATACATTTGCGGGGCACAAGCTGAAGCCCATTGGCTACGAGATGTTGCTGGCCAGGAAGCAGAAACGGATGGCCAATCTGGTCCAGAAGTCGATCGACGACCAGGTGGCGGTGCTCAAGAAACTGGTTGAGAGCTGCAAGTATATTTGGCAAAACTGCGAATATGATCCAGTGATTCCGTGGCACAAAACGATCTGGAGCGTGGGGCGCCACCAGCTAAAGGAACCGCCGAATCGAGGCACTTATGTTGTGAAGCGGCAGGTGGAGCAACGACAGCAGCAGTTGGAACAGGAGCAGCAACTGGAAAAGGAAAAGGAGAAGCAGCAGAAGCTAAGTCAACAGCAGGAGGAACCGAAGCCCCCCGTTCCGTACGCCACTGCCAATCCGTTTCTGGTGCCATCGGCTGTTTGGAATCTCTGCGTCCCCCATCCCTGGATTGGAAATCAAGGGCTCAACTTGTACCACCAGCAGATGGGCTACTGGTATCCATCCTGGCACCAGACAGTCCCCAACTGGTGGGACAATCCCATCTACGTGCAGTGCATGGCCCAGATGGAGCTGTTCCCGGTGAATCTCTCGCCAGAGGAGCTGCAGGCAGCCCAGATGTACGCCATCCACGGCGAGCAGTTCTTCGACATGCCCATGGGCATGGGCTACAAGGGCGGCATCCCCATTCCCCAGCCCTCCTATCCGCTGGCTCCGTATTATCTCTATGCTCCACCGCCCTATGTCCTGTATTACCAGGTCCAGCAGCCGATCTTCTATCCACCGATTGCCCATCAAATGGCCGGATCGCATCCAAACCACCAGGTGAGTCGGCTGACTGTTCAAATGAATAATGGCTTTCATTGCAAGACTTTCAATATATTTATGTACCTCAAAAATAGCTTCAAGCGGAGTAACTTGAGTGAACTTACAACGTTAATCATTATGTAACACTGCTATTATGAGAATACTACAAAAATATATCCAAAAGTCGGAATGTAGCCTTAATAACCATTGTGTTTGTACCATTAGCCAACTGCCTAAACCTCTACTTTCACTTCTTCCTCAGCCAGTTCGAGTCTCAGGGGCAGGAATCCCAGGAAAAGGATGTGGTGCAGGAGGAGCAGTCGGCACAAGCAAGGCAAGTGCTGGTGGAAGAGGTTCAAGTAAGACTAGCAATTTGAGTGATAATTCCCTCAAAAGAAATTTTAAACTGATTTTAAAATCGAATTTGATATCCTCCTCCTAATTAAATGAACAAATAATAAACCCAAAACTGATTAGTACTTATAATATTACCTTATTTAAGTATATCTTTTGATAAGATGTCATGTTTTAATGTCTGCTTAAATCTTACCAGATTTATTTTTATTTTTTATGTCCAACCAAATACATTTGTAATTGATGAGAAATTATTCTAAAATTATAAAAATCATCTTGTGTATAACAATTGTGTTTAATTACACAACAATTACACAATGTTCTTAAGAGGTATCCCACTTTGAAATCAGCTTTGATTTAATTAACTTATCCACTCTATAAGTTCAATTTTGGGTCACCTTTTTACCAGTCATCGGAATCTTAGAAATTTCTAATTGATCGTTCAAATGACAAATTTATAATCAAACCAAAAGTTTAAACACATTTAATGTTTAATTATATTTATGCTGATATTATGATAGTTGCACAATCATTAGATTCGTATATCTTTAGGCTGCGAAAAGTATTTCTTAGGGAATATAAAACGTTGTTCAAAATTTTACTTGTTTATCAAATTAATTTCATCCCTTTTTTTCGCAGAAAATCGGAAACAGAGGTATCGTGGAAATGGAAGCACCAGTTTCAACTCGAATGGCCAGAGGTGCTAGTGGTGCTAGCGGTTCCAGTGGTTCTGGTCGCATCAGTGGATCGAGCGATGTCCTTCCGACCGTTGATGTTCTCAATTTAAACATTACCAACTTCCCACCGCTTCCAGTGCCTCCGAAAAAGCGCAGGAACTAAACATTGATTGGCAAAGGGAAGATTTCAAAACCACTATATGCATCATTACTCTAAACATTCACATTCACATTCGACGATGCATGATATTTTTTTTGAATACCACTTTATTCCTAACACCAGAATGTCACTAACACAGCGCCTGATTTCATTTCAATGGCATTTCCACACATGTTTTCCACATGATATCAAATAAACGCACTAATATTGAACACTAACCCGATATCGTATTTGTAGTAGTTGTTGTACAAGTAGCTAACCATATTTATTTAGTTTTACCATTATCTTTTATTAATGCATGGCTATTATTTGCCGTCCACTTCCCAAACGAATTAAATGCCAAAAAAATATTCTTGACATTAATTCAGTATTGATTAATGTGTGATAAATAGAAATAAAATTATAAAATATACATTTTAATAGGACAATAATATAAATAAGCGATTATTTTAGTAAGATAGATAGAAAAAAAGAATTTAAAGTTTAATAAACCAAAGAACCAAATGTTTGCCCAACAAAAAGCATGATTGTAAATAAACGAAAATCAAAATTGGTTCAGCTTTGTTTAAAACAAAGGACCACAATAAATAATACTATTTTAATTACCTTAACAGGAAAAGCAGATAATAGTTTGTAGATCGACTATATGATGACCAACATTTAGATGTCGGTTTCTATGGGTACTTATTTAAAAACGCATATTTTTGTCATATAATTGGAGATTAGTCGTTTCCAAATTTTTAAAACCAGAATTGGCAACCACCAACCGGAATTGCTTATCACTGCTTTCAGCGAACTAAAAATATGCGAAAATAATGCGTTTATCAGCAATGTTGGTGCTTTCTTTGTTCATTCCACAAATAAATTATTTCAGTGTTTCAGAAACGTTCTTCTAGTGTAGTAACATTTATTAAAAATGCTACTCCAACTGATTGCCACCTGCTTACTGTGGTCCTTTTTGGTCCTGGACTCGCATGTCTCATTGGGTGATCCTCAGGTGGATCCTCATAGTGGAAGTCCAGGGTGTGTTCTCCGCGATGCACCCAGCCAGTGCGGCTCCTTTTGCCTGGCCGCACTGCATCCGCTGTTCGATGAGAGTGCTGAAACCCAGAACAAGCTGGCCAGGATCGAAGCTAGTCAGGATGCGCTCGATACCAAGCAGGAAGCTCTCAATACCAAGCAGGAAGCTCTTAATACCAAGCTGGAAGCTCTTGAAACAAAGCTGGAGGAGGAACTTTTGGCCATACGGACCAGTTTGCAGGCGATTCTGGATAACGTGAAGAGCCCACCCAGGATCGATTCTAGGTTCGAGCTGATTGGCTCTAGATACTTCTATATTGAAGATACTACTAGAAAGAATCATACCGACGCTGCAGACACCTGTCGAAAGATGGGAAGCTATCTTGCATCTATAAAAGACGAAGAAGAATTGAATGCCATCACAGCAAAACTCAAAAAAGGAGAGGAATACTTGCTTGGCATCAAATATAGGGATGATTTAAAGGCATACGTATCGGAGGCCTCCGGAAAGACGGCAACATTTTTAAAATTTACAAACTTTAAAAGGTTTCGAGTCGAAAGTCCGGACTGCATTTACCTTACATCGAACTATATGCTTGAATCGTTTTGTGGTAAAAGTTTTTTCATTTGCCAGAGTGATTTAGAGTGAATTTAAATAGAAAAGGTTAAATTAATAATGCGTAAAAAGTATTTTTTTAAAGAATAATAACCAACTGAAAACGTTCACATGTTAAATGAGTAACATGGTTTTTGTAGTTTTTTAAAGCAAGTTAAAAAAAAATTAATTGAAAGAATGGTTATTTAATTCACTTTAATTGTTCGATTGGAAGAGTTAGGTAAATCAGTAATGCTTGTAGAGTTAAATAATAAATAAATAAATAAAAATAAAATTTTCGTAATGTATATTTTATATATTTCGGCAGATTAGCAACCCTTTTTTTGCAGTGCATTAATCAAAGTGCATTTTGTGTGGGGTTACAGTGATTTTAGTTAAAAGATTGAAACACATCGAAATTAGCATATTTGTCGGAGCCACCAACGTTATCGATTGTTAGCGCGGACTTACACCGCAGTTAGCGGATACATGATCCATTAGTAACGAGATACCTAATACGAAACTAGCGAGTACCACCACCATTTTATTTGCATTTTAGAGATGGAAAAACACCGATGACGCATTGCCAAACATCGATAACACTGATGTTCTGAAAACATCGATGCTCTTCCACCTCTACTGGCAATTGATTACTTTTTTTTGACGCACTAGGGCGCTAAAAGCATTTTTCGGCGTGAAAAGATGGAGGCCCTGGTAAATTACAGCAGCGAGGACGACCAGGAGGATGCTAGCTACCAGATCCGGGTAAATATAGCCACGCCGCAAGGCCGGAAGCAGCTGAAAAAACCAAAATCGTACTCACTGTCAGAGCGCATTTTGTGTACACATTCTATAATTTTTTTGTTTCTTCTTCTTCATTTGGCCCCTCTGTGTGTGTTTGTGTGTGTGCATTTGCGTGTGTGCAAGGCGTTGAAATATAGTTAACTGATCCTGACCCGATCCCACCACCCCAAAATATACAACCCGCTTCCCTTACCCCCCTCTAATTTAGTTCAAGTATCCTAGTGCTTTAGTAAAATAATGCGAATTTGCTGTTTCTGAATAGTTGCAAAATTCCCCTAGGCACCACAACAACAACATTTGCAGCCGCAGCCGCATGTGAAATCAGCAACAACAACTAGTTTCCTACAGCAGAGATATAACAACAACAAAAACAACAATGGCAGTAGCGACGGCGACGTTGACGCCGGCAGAGACAGTCGCAGCGGCAGCGGCAACAACAATAGTCCGCGGGAAAAGGAGAAGGATAAGGAGAAGAAGCGACGCCATCACACTCCTCCTCTGTTGACGTCGCAGCAGCAAAATCACAGGATTGATGAGGTAAAGAATTGCCGTGGCACCAATCGATATAATCTCCACATAACTATATATTATGTACAATACGTGTGTATGTGTCTGGGTTGGAGCGGATGCGGATGTAAACCCTACATGTGCCATTTCCTTCCACTTCCACACAGTGGCGGGCAGAATAGCACTGCCATCAGCACTTATAGTGGCGGGCAGAATAATAGCACGCCACACCGCATTAAATCAATAACGCAGCCTTGTTCTCATTTACGATAGTCAAGGAATCGTTGTGAAGTTCACATTGAATTATGCATTGTTTTATATACAAAGCAAAGAATCTTTTGTTTTCGAAAATAGCAAACAGGTGTGCTAAAAAAATATTAGAAGAATGACAAAATATTTGTTTTATCTTTTTAATCAAACCAACGTAGATAACCATTGATAAGCTTTATTGATTGTTTGAAAATGTTCTATAGTAATATTTCATACTAACAGTTTGTTATATTAGTCAGAAAACTATACGTTTTATTTACACATAAAATGATTACATTCATGTACATATGTGATATAGCTAGGCAGTTGAAATTCCATTGCTCGGTGTAAATTAGCCCTTATAATAAATTTATGATAAAAAGCGTTATTATGTTTAGTAGAAGCAAGCCTATATCATCACTTGTGATTGTGTATTTACTATGTAATTAAAATCCAAAAAAAAAAAACAATTCGCTTTAAACTGCCAGAAGATACATTTTTTATGTTCAAAAGATTGTTGGTCTTTTCTATTTTCGACTAGCCATCTTTACAATTTATATTATAGGTAATTACAAAATGACCTAATCAAATGATCAATTATTTCATTGTCTCAAATTTTAAATTCCGAGTTCTAAAAGAAATGTAGATTCAAACAAATATACATTTTTTTATTTAGGCATAACTTTGTGGTGCTATTATTTTGTCGGCAGCTGCACGCTCATAAAATTTGTTCTATGTCTAAGTATATCGATCTGCGCGATCAGGGACATGCGCTCCAACCCTCCCCCCCCCAAAAAAAATGTGTAAATTTAGCCACTGCCAGCTCGTTATGAACCAAAAAAAATAAAAATTTTATTTCTGTCGGTCCGCTTGCGATTACACACTTTGTTGTTGTTTGGCCCGCTTAGTTAAGTTTTAAAACTATATATGCCAATTAATATTTAAATGACTAAACTCTACCATTTTATTATCATTGTTGTTGTTGTTACGTAAACGAAACCAAACCAAACCAAACCAAAATGAAAAACCATTCTCAAAAAACCAAAAAGAACAAAAACCTGACCTACGACCATTGACGATACCCCGATCGTAGTAATCGCTCGATTACCAATAGCCACTTCGAAAATGCGACAATCGATCAGATTTGTAGAGACTAGGCTTGTGTGCGACTCGGTGGCTGTGGTGGTGGGTGTGTGTGTGACACACCGAAAGAAAAAGAAAAACAATTTTCAGGACACACTCACCACACACACGCCCGCACACACACTCACTCACTGGTGGCGTGAAAGCGAGAGAGAGAGAAAGAGAGAGAGAGCGAGAGAGAGAGAGAAAGCTCGAGCCGCATGAAAGTGAGTATACAAAAAAAAGCGATCAAATAGAACTTAACAACTCTCTAAGCAATCTAGGATACCCTGGAAAGGACCTTCGGCCCCAGCTGGTGGCCACAGCCCATCCATTTTCATTTCTAGCAGCTAGCATCTAGACCTAGATACTTAGCCGCCAGCGCCGTTTCGTTGATTCGCTCTAATGTAATTCTCCTTGCTGGGTTGCTTCTTCCCGTTGCAGGACCCGCAGCCCAGTAGTCGCCACCGCCAGGAGCGGGACAAGGACAGGGAAAGGGATCGCGAGCGGGACAGGGACAAGGACAAGGACAAGGACAGGGAGCGTGAGCGGGACCGGGACAAAGACCGCGAGCGAGAACGGGAGAGGGAGCGGGAGAAGCGCGACCCAGAACGAAGTCGCGACAAAGGACGCGACAAGGATCACAGCAAGGTGAGTGAGTCTTCAACCCTACGTCCATGTGGGTTAGGTATCCTGAAGGTATCAAAGAAGATACCATTTAGCCATTAAAAATATAGAGCTAAGACTATAGTCATATATCTAAAAATATCCAACACTTTATTCCGATTGCATTGATCCTCTATTATCGACAATTCAACCAACCAGGCGGATGAGTAATAATTTGTATACTCTTGCAGATTGCATTACAAATAAAATTATTTGTTTTGTTGCTATAATAATAACTAAAATTTGTACGAAAGATTTTTGTTTACAAAATTACATAGAACAAGATATAAAAAATAAACCAAATAAATAAATACATTAAATTCGACTTGGTCCATGTTCTATACTATTTTATTTATAGCGCTGGGATAAAATATTAAAAATATTATTCGACCCACTCTTTCTGAAAATGTTTTTAAATATCTTTGTTTTGTGTGGTAGCAGCAACAATTAAAATTTTTTTTATCAAAATTCACCAAATTGGCGTAACATCGATTACTACTTAAAATTCAAATTCAAAATATGGTAATTTTATACAATCTTAGCAGTACCTATACATTAGTATATTTTTGTTGCGATAATTAATACTAGAAAATCCTTTATAAAATGGGTTATTGAAATCTATGCTCAAGGAAACCCTTAAAAAGGAATATGAATAAAACATATTGTCTTTGTGGAAACTCCCCAAGAGTAAAGGGTTTTTTTTCCGACTCGTAAATAAGGTGTAGTTTTTAAGAATCGCCAACCCTACTTCCCCATGTAACTAACAACACCTTCTTATTTTCTTTGCCTCTTCCAGGGCGACCATCGCCACCATCGTACCAAAGACGGCAATAGCCACAGGGAGCGAGAGAGGGAGCGGGAAAGGGAGCGAGATCGCGACAAGGACCGCGACCGCAGGCGTTCGGAGAAGAGCAGTCGCCACCACGGCGGCAAGGAGCGCCACCATCATCACAATAACTCCTCATCCTCCTCGATAGCCGGCGCAGCAGCGGCCAATGCAGCAGGGCGTCGGTCCTATGACGACCGGACTCGTCGTCGTCGGGATTCCCGATCCCGCTCCCGCACTCCCACGGGCACACCGCCCACCCGTCGGCGCCACCAGTCGCAGCAGTCGCGCAAGTACCGCGAACGCGACTCTAGCAGTCGCTCCAGATCTCCGAAAGAAGAGCAAGCCCAGCCACTCCGCGCTGGAGCAGTGGCCGGAGCTCACGTGCTGCTCAGGAAGTCCGGCGGTGGAGGAGGATTAGGAGGATCCTCGGCAGCAACAGCAGCAGCAGCGGCTGCAGCAGCCGCCGCTCTGGCAGCCGCCAATGCAGCAGCCGCCGCGGCAGCCATGGCGGCAGCCTCGTCCGGTGGAGCAGGAGGCGGCGGTGGCCTTCTGCCGACGCCCAATTACGCACCCAAGATACCCTCGCTGATGTCCCTGGAGCTGAGCACGCCAGCGGTGGCGGCTCCCGCACTGGAACCCATCCAGCTGCCCAGCTACTACAACCCGGGCATCATCAATGCCAACCGCTATGCGGAGCAGCAGCAGAAGCGCAAGCTGCTGTGGGGGTCCAAGAAGAGCGAGGACTCGGCGAACAAGTGGGGCAACGCCCACTTCTCGCAGGACTCGGACGGCAAGGTGGCCTCCAAATTTATGCGCCTTATGGGCATCAAGAACGCCGGTTCGTCCGGCGATGGTGAGGCCAGTGGTGGCGCTGATCAGGTGGAGGCCAGCAACGGGAGTGCAGCCGGCGAGGGAACCGGAGGAGGTGGAGCAGGATCAGGAGGAGCTGCCGCATCAGCAGCTCCGGGCGGAGCGAAGGTTCCGACGGATGTGCAGCAGCGCCAGCGCATGTTCTCCAACATGGAGCAGCAGTACGAGATGGCGCGAGCCGCAACACACACGATGCGAGGCGTGGGCCTTGGTTTCGGCTCCCAGCCACGTACTTTCTAGAGGGGATCGGCGGAGGACTGGCTCCCAACCAGGCTGTAAATACCATGCCACTCACTCAACTCATTAGTCATGTCAAGAAGTTTCCTCTCAACCACTTTTTGTTTGTGTTGAGCAAATGTTTTTTGATTTCAAATAAACGTTGCAACCGAATTTATGAAGTGGAGTACCTTTATTTTTATCACTTAGGCACTGACCTATAGGAATATAAGTAAATAAGTCGTCTTGTCTAGATTTCACTCAATTAATAATATATTTATTTTATATTTTATGGCAGTATACAAGTAGATTGGGTGATGCCACATCCGGCTTAGTGTTTTCCTCCCTTCTTCTTCCAGCTGTCCAGCTTGCGACGTTTCACCTGTTTCCTTAGGCTCTCCGATTCCGGATCTCCGTTGGTCGGGATCTCCGGCTCTGGATCTCCGTTGGTCGGGATCTCCGGCTCCGGATATCCGTTGGTCGGGATCTCCGGCTCCAGATCTTGATTGGTTGGGATCTCCGGCTCCGGATCTCCATTGGTTGATAACTTAGCTTCGTTGATCACAACTATCTCCATTTCTGGGTGACCGGGCAGATGGATTCGGGTCAACGGCGCGTCGTTAGCCCTTGGCTGCAGCCCAATGGAGCGCAACTGGTCAATAATCTTCTGCTCCAAGCGGCACGTGTCCTTCCAATTGGCCAGAATGGTGGGGATATCCAAATTCTTGCCGGTACATCTGCGCATGACCAGTTTGATTTCTTGTTTCTGGACATTTTCGTCCACCTTCTTGAATCGGGCTTGCATCTCAGGAGAACTGGCTACCTTATTAAACTTGGCGATATAATCCATGATTTTAATGTTAAGAGGACGTCTCGTTATCTCGGCTGCTAGTCGGAAAAGAGAGATGACATGCGAAAAGCGAAAAAAAGTAAACTTGACAGCTTTGACAAATCCGTATAACTACTGGAGTGTTGAAAATGTTGTAGTTAAAATAACACTGCTTTAAAATACATTTATCAAAGGACTTTATTACACTTTGTAAGACCAAAAATGAATCGAAATAAAAGTATACATTTATAATAGTTTTAGCGGAGTTATCAGCAAGCAATAAAGATCCTAAAAAGTTACTTAGTCAAAGTTCAAATTTTTCTGCTAATAGCTCTGCTAGGAACAAAAAAATTGTTTCAAATAAATATTTGAGATCCAGTTGTAATATATTTTTTGGAAGCTATTTCAAATAAAGCTGGCTTGTTTGCCTTTTAGAAAGGACCTCGAGCACTTTTGTTTGGTTTTGCATGGGATTAAATAATTAAATTCAAAATAATGGTGTACTTCAACTTTGAAATTTAAACTTTTTGCACTGGGTGTCGCAGCAGCCAGTTGTTTGTCGCCTTGCGTTGCGGCCAGTTGGCCTATCGCCAATCGATAACTGTGGCCAATAACAATAACAATAACAAAATCAGCTGCAGTTTGTGCCACGCAAAAAAGTATTCAAAAAAACTAAGCAAAATTCGCCCAGAATCGCCCTCCAGCTGTCCAAAAAAGAAGAGTGATCGAGCAGAAGAGCCACGCCCCCGTCCGACCCCGCCGCCCAAAAGAGCGAAGCAGCGAAGATGTCGTGGCTGAACAGCAGTCTCAGCACGCTGAAGGGCCAGCTTACCAACCTGGCCCAGGAAGTTCTGGCCGAAACGGCAGGACCCGGCGATCTGGAGTACGAGGGACATGGCCAGGAGGCCGAGCAGCAGGCCAAGACAGCGCTGCAGCTGCTGGCAGAGACGCAGGAGCAGAAGGAGCAGCTGGACAGGCGGTGCGAGGAGAAGGATCGTGAGGTAACTCTGCCCCCGGCACTTTTCAGGCTTCCCCACTCACGCGAATTCCCCTCTCCCCTTTTCAGATTGCCGCCCTGCGCCGGGAAGTGGCCAAATGCAAGCAGGAATCCAAGCCAGCGGCCGGCACCTCGTCGCCGAAGGAAACCCAGTTGGTAAGTGATGGCAGTGGTGCCACTGCTGACCTGCAGCTGGCACTCAAGCCATTTCCGGTGCTTGTGCCGGTGTTGGTGCCGGTGCCCACTCCTTCCTGGAACCATTGCACTCGAGTGTTTGACCGGCTTTATCTGCCAACCCAAACGCGATAAGCCCAGCTCTCTTTTGGCCACATATCCCTGAATTAATATTTAAACTGTGATAAGCTAGGAGCCGGCACTACTCGACTTTTATCTGCAGTTCTGTTTCTGTTTTTTACCTGATGCCACACAATATGTGTGCGACACAGAAAGAAAAATTGACACGATATGACAGGATCTGATAATATTCAAATGTACAGTAGGTGTTCATTTCCCGGCTAATTTTAATGTTGTGTAATGTATGTATGTATGACTATCCCAACAAAAACTCAGAAAGCAAGAGTTATTCAGAGCCAGTTGCCAGGTGGAGTTTCAAATAGGCAAAGAGTTTATATACATGCTTATTTTTCCGCATTCAATGTAAAGTCAAAATGATATACAAAGTGTAACGATCCATACATGTAGCTGCTTTTTTTTTCTGTGCAGCACATCCGCTAGCTGTTAGAAAACGAAATTATGAAATTTCTATTTGATTTCACATTCGGTTGTATTTGCCTGGCTGTCATAAATCCCCGGTCTCCTTTTCGATCGTCCCATATGCCTATTGACCTTATCTAGGCGAGCGGCTAACCCTATCGCTGCCCCCCATTTGACGACTGCTTGTTTAATTTACCGAATTATTTCTGATTAGGCAAGTCGCCAAAACTCAACCCTAAGTGCCTGCGATTCCCGATGACGCGGCGGGGTGGTTCGTTATGGTGTTATTCGAGGGCTCCCACACACAACTGTACTTGCGGCGAAAAAACCAATCTCCATCCCACAAAAAGCACAGAGCTCTAGTCCCAATGGATTGGCCTGTACTTAACTAAATAAAAAAACACTTTTCTAAAGCTTCCCCAAAGAATATAAGTAATATTATAAAGGAATGTATAGACTGACGTGTGATATATGGACAGCTATAGTAAATGGTCATTCCGTTTTGATTAAGTCCCAGGGGCCGGCCCAAATTAAAAATGGCGAAAAACATTGATGAATGTATAGCATTAATATTTAAAAATGTAAGACAATCAAGAACAATAGAAAAAGTTATATAGTCGCCCCATCACAATTTGTACACCCTGGCAGAAGGCATTATAATTTCAGTTTAAAGACCCATAAAGTATTTAAATTCTTGATCAGCATCTGTCTGTTTGTCAGTGTTTTTCGAGTCTGACTTTTTTTTAAAATCAGACGACTATATTCTTTAGCTGCCATAAGAAAAATCTGTTAAAAGTTGATTGTTTTCAAGAAATTAAGCATATAAATCTCTAAAATTATGGTTTTACTTGTATATCCTTTCGTATCCATCCCTTGAATGGACTATATCTTGTTGATGTCATATGTGGTATTCGCGCAGTTACCCTTCCTTGGCTTAGCTTTGTTTAGCTATGATCAGCTTAATGTGTTATTTGGTGATCACCAAGTTACAACCACACAAAATTTAATTTAGTAATCATCTCAAACTATGTACATCATATGTATGTAATTTGGAGTATAAAATTATTTTATTTGCTTTTATATTTAACAATTGCTAAATGGTTTACATCGTCTATTAACCATTTAAACTTGTTTATTTGTAATACCATGACTTATTGTAAATAATCCTCGTTTTTGTGCCTTTAAATCTCTCAGTTTAAATTGATATATTGATCTTTAAACCCTCGCACATTGTTTCTCATAATTTATATCCCGACTAGCTAATCGAAAATGTAAAAATGATTTTCTACCATATTACTAGGAACATAAATCATGCGAGAAAATTGCATCATTTAATATTTGTTGATGAAATTTATACACTTTCCTTATCGGGACAGGCGAAATCTGAGCTTTCAGCGATTTGAGAAATCGATATTGCAAATGGTTATCACTAGTTTCTCTTAGTAAACTATTTGGATCTTTTGTAGGGGACTTTCTTTTAATTTTTTTTTTTATTTAAATCGATTTCTTGGATTTTCAATGTTCGATTTTCCTTCCTCCAGTCTTACTAAATATCTCTAGTCGCTATTAATTTAATTTTTCGATCTGTTGTTTGGGATTTATAATTTTAAAGTAGTAATCCCCAAGTTGGTTTTTTTAATTTCACCCATTGATTAGTTTTTCAGTGCCGTTCCATTAATGTTGTAATATGTTTACCCCGATTTTGCCTTCTGTGTTATCCGCGGTGACTATCTCTGGTTATCTATTGGATCGATAGTTGGGTCACCATATTGTTTTGCATAATTGCGCCAGGCGGCCGGCGGTCGGTGATAAGTGTGCCCTCATCCCCATCCCCATCCCCATCTCCACCCCCATTCCATGGATGTGGCAATCTGCTCCTGCCAGCCATTATCATCCCCATTAGGCGGGCATTTGGGACATCTGGATCGCACCATGTTCGGGTTATCTTATCCGGGGCCAAGCTGGCCAGGATCGAAGGGGGTTGGTTGCTGGCTGGATCTGGGGGCCTATAAAAGTCCGGTTCACCTGCTGGCTGTCATTCATTCGGTTTCGTGTGATCGATCCACGTAGGGCCCACAAAGGCCCGCATAAAGTGTTAATTTCCACTCAGTTTTTTTTATTCCTTTTCATTCGGTGTGTTCAGTTTTGGCCTAAAAAAACCGTTAAGCTACAAAAGAAAAACGAAGTACAAAACGCGATTTGCATTTGAAAATCGTGTGAAATTTCCTAAAAAGAAGGCCAATTGTAAGGCATTTATTTTTGTTTTGTTTGTTCTTTGCATTTACTATATTTTTTTTTTTTCATTGCCGGAAGTTTCTCGACGACTGCAATTTTTTGTTCGTGTGTTCACGTGTGTACTTATTTGGTATTTATTTTGGGTGAGTTGAAACCTAGTTTTTATACATTCTCATATGCAACAGCCAGCAACGGCGAATTAGTCTAATTGCCAAATTTTAAAACGCAATGAGTTGGTGAGTAGCACTTACGGTCAGGAATTAAAAACCGAGAACCCTCGACACGAGGCAGCGAACACGCACCTGGCGTTGATAATGAGGTACAAAAAACAACAAAAATAAATAAATTAGAGTAGATATTTTAGCTAAAGTTCTCTGTTGAAGAGACAGTTTAAATAGGAAAATACGTGTGTCAGAATGTTTATGTTTCTGATTTTTGACTGCAAATTGCTGGCAGGATTTTAAGGCTTAACAAAAATGTACAGGAAAACAGGCAGTTGGTTTTAATTTTTATACAAAAGGTTCGTTTCACTAAAAATATCTTACTTGTGCCTGTTTTCTCCTAATAATTCTTATTAAGTTTACTATTAATACGAAAAAACGGGTCTGAATAAAATAGAATTTGTGAAACGTAACTTGTTTAAAATAATTAAGATACCTTTGTTTCCTGTGCACATTTTGATAAATCCAAAAATCCTGCCAGCTTTTTACAGCCAATAAATCCTACTTTTCGCTTACCATTGAAACGAGAAATCGGGGATTAGTAGGATAGAAAACCTAATAATCCTTAAAGTAACATTTATGCGTTGCCATGAAATTAATAATTAGTTATATATATATGTATATAACCTTTTAATTCAGTTTCTAAAATGTTGTTCTCTTTTTTTTTATACTTATCGCAAAGAAGGTATTATATTATATACATAAGCAAAATGTTTTGTTAAGGTAATAGTGCCTATCCATAGTATGTACTTTTAAATGTTCAAATGAAAATAGCTGCCAAAATGCTCTATTATATAACCTAAATTCGGAACTTAACTGCCATTTTTTGTTTACATTAAAAATTAAACAATACAATAGTTAAGTAAGCGAGATAAGTATTTGAAAAATATTCCGTAGCATGATCTATTATAATACCTAACACTCGAGCTTTATGTTCCCAATTTTGGGCAAAACCTGAGCACCAGATGGCGCCATTAAATGGGATTAGGCATTGACTGACTAAGGCCTACTTTTCTGTGTCTATCGCACATAAGCTTCATATATCTAATGTATTACATATATTTATGTAGATCAAATGAGCACCTTGCCATATGCATAATCATAATTATCGAACATATCATAGAACTCCCCTGATGGCGTTTATCTTGCACGGATTTCATTAGAGCGGAAATGCTGATTGGTCGCTTGGATGGCTCACTCGTTAGGGTCAGTGGGTGGTGGGATGGTAGGGTGGTGGGTTGGGATTCTAACCGGTGGGTGGGGATGGTCGGCAGGTGGTTACTCCATTTTTTGTATATATTTTTCTTTTTTATACCCGTTACTCGTAGAGTAAAAGGGTATATTGTATTCGTGCAAAAGTATGTAACAGCTAGAAGGAAGCGTTTCCGACCCTATAAAGTATATATATTCTTGATCAGGGTCACTAGCCGAGTCGATCTAGCCATGTCCGTCTGTCCGTCTGTCCGTCTGTCCGTCTGTCCGTCTGTCCGTCTGTCCGTCTGTCTGTCCGTCTGTCTGTCTGTCTGTCCGTATGAACGCTGAGATCTCGGGAACTATAAAAGCTAGAAGATTGGCATTTTGCATGTAGATTTTAGGAGTTCCTACGCAGCGCAAGTTTGTTTCAAAATGGTGCCACGCCCCCTTTAACGCCCACAATCACTTATATACGATTTTAAAAATTTAAATATTTCGGAAAAGTAAAAATGCAGTTTTATTGTGTTTATCAATACCTATCGAAATGTAGAAGAAATTTTTCAAATCGGACCATTCGTTAAAAAGTTATGCGTGATCAAAGTTTCTATCTCCATCTCCCTCGCACTCCCTTTACCTGAGTAACGGGTATCTGATAGTCGGGGCACCCGACTATAGCGTTCTCTCTTGTTTTTTTTTGGACACGTCAACCGTCAAGAGCCAGAGCGAAACCGAATCGAGTTTCATTTGATAAACGCGGTTTGTTACGCTCGGCCAAACTGTGTCAAATGTGTC